GGAAGGAAGGAAGGAAGGAAGGAAGGAAGGAAGGAAGGAAGGAAGGAAGGAAGGAAGGAAGGAAGGAAGGTCGGTCTTAAAAAATAATTTTGGCTTTCACATTGCCTTTTTCCCCTGACACACTTGAGTCCCATGTTACAAACATGTGAAATGTGTCTACACTGAAGAGGAAGCCAAATGAACAGAGGTCTCTGGACAGCTTTAAGGTGGAACTCGCCTGTTTAAAATTTGCTAGCAGGCCAGAAGTGAGACACAATCTGGCTGCAGAAGCCGCCCTGTTCATTTAATAAAGCCCCAATCTTGTGTAATGGGAATGAGCTCACCACCATACAAAGTACTAATTATCAGCGGTATTTTCCAGAGGATGTGAATAACTCCCCCTTGTGAGAAAGAGGCCCAAGGCACCACTCTGGGTCAGTCTGCTTAATCCAAAACACGAATGGCTCCTTAGACTGCCATGCTTGTTTGCAAAGGTCTTGAATAGTGAAACAAGTTCAGTAGGAAATGAGTCGAAAACAATACCTGTGGTAGGGGGGAAGGTTCCCCTCTTTATACATAGTTATGCTTTGATGGTATCAAACTTGGCAGTCAGGAATCCTATTGCATTATTTGAAATTCAGTTTCTCAACAAAGTTTTTGAATACATTCTAAGGATGTCTAAAGGGTTGCATTGATTCATGGCATACATATATCATTTTGCTTTCTATGAAGCCTGAGCCACAGGAAACCAACTTCAGGAAAACTATAGGAAAAATCATACTTTAGGCTGCCTTTAATCATCACTTACCTACCCCGCCCTCACCCTTGTATGTAGAGGTGGAATTTTCCGGGTTTTGGCATGAATCCAAGTTTCTCCAGCTTTGAAGCATAGTTTTTTTTTTCCTATTGCTTCTAATGAAGCAATAAGAAATTCAACAAAAAAAAAGGTAGCAGCTCATTAGGTTGCTTGTAAATCTGAAGAGATTTTATGTATTTAGATGTTATAGAAACTCATAACAGCATTTCTAATAGCCTATTTTTGAATTAGAATTTAGGCTACATCCATAATCTCGGATAAGCCATCTGAAATATCAATATTTTCTTCTCACTGTCTTGAATCCTAAGATTTCTATTGAACCTAGTTTCAGTTTTCAGGAAAGATTTTGTTGTTAAAATCAAATATGGTTGTTTAAATTAAACAGTAAACAAAGAGACAAAAAAAGGTAGCTTCCCAAATTGAGAATTTAAATATAACAAGCTGGCTTGAGTTAAAATCAAAATCAGTTTGGATGTTTCTTTTATTCAGAAGCATGACTTGATTTTATTTTAAATCATTTCCTCTGAATATAAGAGACTCCCCTTCACAACATTACAGACCTCAAGAGGATCAGCCAAGTGGATTCATACGTGTTTTCTTTATCTAGATAAATTTGCCTGACCTGCCCTTTGGGTGTCTTACTCAATCTAAAAAAATATTGAGGCATTATTGTGCAGATAAATATAAATAATCTTGTTTTGCTTACAAAAAATCAGTGTGATGGCTTGTGGTTAGCTCTGGAATGACCTAACTTTTTTTTTAACCTCCAAAGCTTTGCTTGCCAAGAGCTCTTATTGCACTTGCTGGGACTATTTTTGGTATGGTGCAGCATATTAAAAATGCATTGGAGACTGTTATTTTTATTTTAATTCTGCTATCTTTACAGCAACTGAGTAATATCCCTGAGAAAAAGTAACCAGTAAATTCCAAAAATGAAGAGTTAGATTCTTAAATGTTATCTAACACATTGTTTTATGGGTCATTACTTTGAACATACTCTAGTCCTATATGCACTAAAGCATTTCAGATTGAACTTAACTGTGAGAGAAATGAATGCTGTGTTAGACAACCCTACTTTGGAGCATTCCAATGTGTCAGAGTTGCAACCTCTAGAATTCTTTGCAACTCAAAGAGTCACTGGCAATTATCAGCAGTTTATTTAAGTAAAAGAATTATAATGATTTTTTATACAAACATATGCTGTTCAACATTTTACATTTTATTTAATTAAAATTTAATGACACTAGATATTATTTCCAGAAGCAAATTATAAGATGAGGGGCTCTTCCAATCAGTTAATTACTGTTAGGCTAGAATTTCCTAATTGTAAATATTCTTGGTTTTTCCATTTAACTTCCCTTTTTAAATAGGAATAAAAGCTTTAACCCAGGTTGAGAATTCCTGACTTCTAAAGGTATTAATGACCATAATGCCATTCAGAAACCCTTAGTAATACTGTAGTTTTTGTAATAAAAAAGAAAAGAAAATGGCTTCTAATTACATCAGAAAATAATAATGAACTGAGCCTTCCGTGCTTATTGTTCAACTTGCTATTGTAATTTTCTAAGATCAAATTAATCTTTTCTGACTAACAGATAGAACAAGATCTATAAAGATCAACCACTTTTACTCTGTAAAACTAAAAAGGAAAGATGATTCTGGATGTAAACCTAATACATCAATGTTTTTCAGTAATTAATTAAGATCTAGCAATAGTAGTAATAGTTCATTTTGACTCATGCATATGGATATAAAGGATTTTCAAAAGACTGGAAAGAACTATTTACCATGTAAAACTATTGAAAAATCAGTAGAAATGAAAATAGAAAGAAATTATTTAAAAAGCATGAAAAGGGGGGATGGAAATCAATCAGAAAAATGTTAGTTGGCAGATAGCCATATCCTTTTGACAAAATGTTTTTTCTTCTTCATCTCAAGCTTAAATCAAAATTTAACACCCGAGATTTGCTACAAGTTTGAGCTAACATTTCATTTCCTGGAGTCTGGAAGTTATTGTCATGTGGTTCTTGGCTGCCTAACTCTGGGATTTATCACATGTTTAACACCGTCTAGTCTAAAGACTAAATGATCTTCTGAATAAAATACTAAAGTGCGGCAACGTACAGTATATTTGACCACGAAGGGGTGGGGAACAGCACGGGTGGAAAACAAGGTTAATTGAGTCCACAAGAATAGTGATAGAAGGATGGAAGTCTATACTGGTTAGTAACAAATTCCCCTCTGCCACACTCCAAAAGAAACTGTGTCTGAGACATAATAAAGCATATTAGTTCCGGCCATAAAATATCCCAACAAATGAGAGAGTAAGCCAGGCTTGCCTTTTTCATTTTCCACAGTCATCTACAACAAGTAGCAGCTTTTCAAAAAATATGAATAAAAGAACTTGCTCCCACAAAAAAAAGCCAACACAAGTCAGCCCAAACTAAAATACATTACTCTTAGATTAATCCAGTGTTTCTCAAACTTGGCAACTTTAAGATGTGTGGATTTCAACTAGCTGGGGAATTCTGGGAGCTGAAATCTACACATCTTAAACCTGTGGAAATCAATCAAACCATATTTTCTTAGTAACGTCTTTCTAAGGCTGCCATGTGTGATATGGAGCAGGGAGCCATTCTTATATGCCTGAAACACAAGAACCAGATGTTTCCTTTGATTCTTAATGATAGAAGAGCAAATACCAAGCACAGTCTTGCAACAATACACACTCAGCTCCTATAAAGCATCTGTTTTATGTATGAAAGGGCGTATCCTAAATGGGATAAAAATGAGGCTATATATTAAAATGAAAAGGACTGCTGAATGCATTGAAGTCTTGTTTTCTTTACTTTTATATTTTGTTTTATGTTCTGTAAAGCAAAGTAATGTTTTATTTCAAAGTCTCTGTATTTAAGGTAGTGGTGCAGCTTCATTTATTCAGTTCAAACTATGTATGCCATATTCCACCTGAGCTGAACTAGAATATGTACAATACAGCTGTGCTTGGATTACACAATGAATTCCTCCTTCTAGAATTGTGAGGGCGAACGTATGGCACACGTGCCAGAGGTGGCACACAGAGCCTTTACTGCTGGCACGCTCACCATTGCCCCAGGTCAGATCTCCATGGTGTTTCTTTTGTAAGCTTCTGTTTCCCTGCAAACGACGAAACAGAAGCTGACGAAATAAAAAGATATTAACTCTTGCCTCGTTGTCAGTATTGGGATGCCCCTTCTCCCACTGGCCAGCTGGTGTTCATGAGCACACACATGTCCATGCATATGTGCATGCGCCTTTCAGTTTGGGCATGCATATGTGCACAGTTTGGGCACTCAGTGTCTAAAAGGTTCACCATCATTGCCCTAGAACTACAGGCAGACAATATTTATTCAATGCAGTTTAAGTAGAAGACACCATCACTGGATTTCTTCAGGACTGTCTACTGCTTCATCTTGCCCTGGAAAGCAACTCTTTATAAAAGCCCAGAATGCTGCAAAATAGCACACATCTAGAACTTGATTTCATTGAAATTGGAATGGATTGTGATATCTTGAATTCATTTACAGAAGACAAGACTGAAGTAAGTGACTGAATGATTTTTTTAAAAAAAAGTGAATGGAAGACATCAATGAAACCATTTTAAATATTTTTAAAGAGTTCAAAGAAAGAGCTGTTATAATTATTCTTATTTGACATTATCATGTAAGTCAAAAGTGTCCCTCGGGGCTACAGCATCAAGTTTTGGTTGGTCGGACTAGAGACTAGCAAGGTAAAAGAATGTGAAAAAGAGATGGATTTAAGCAGACAGTTTTACATGTTCTTGCCATTTAATTTAACACAGGAATTATATTCCTAGGAAGGGAGAGCAAACTCCATTTAAATCAAGAGAACTTGCACAGTTTAAGAAAAATAAGTTCAGCTAGAATTTAAAGAAGCAAAAAATTTGAAATAACAGAATGAGGAAGGTTTTGCACAAACTCCTCAAACCCAAAATGATCTATATACTATTATTTGACATCATCAATTATAGTAAGATGAAACAATAATGTTTTATCAGACTCCTATTATAGCCAGCAGTATCACAATCATACAACATTTGCCAGAAGTCATCTCTTACCAGCATATTGCCATCAGTCCAGCGGAAGTCATTCTCGAACATCTTATCATTTAGGCCAATCCACTGATAGTCATGTCCTATGCCTACAGTGAAATTATATATTTTAGTAACTTTTTACCATTAAAGAGAATTTTCTAAAAATCAAAAAGAAATGACATCAGCCTCCTCATGAAATCTGTGAAACTTATTTCTATTCTTTCTTCTAAGAGCTATGAATATTTATAAAAGATATTCTTACTAACAATACTTTAACTGATCTATTTTTTCTTGTTGAGTGCTCTGAATGGCAATACTGTTTAAGAAGCAATACGCCTCCTTGAAATGGAAGGTGGTAACAATTATTTGAAAAAAGGTTTGCTTTGGAAATTTGTTATATTTAAATCTGCATCTTCAGCTGATACACAGATGCATTAGTATTTTCAACCTTGCTTTATACATCTTTCCATATATGCATGAAAAAAATTCCTTCTATAAATAGAGCATCCGCTAGCACAAATAAAACACATGGATATCTAGGTTGATTTGCATATTCAGTATTCATCAAAAAAGCCTTCATGATGCTCCTAGTTTTACAGGTAGTCCTCAACTTACAACAATTAATATAATTGTAATTTGAAGTTACAATTGCATTGACAAAAAGTGACTTATGATCGGTCCTCAATGCAGCTACCCCATGGTCCAGTGATCAGAATCCAGGTGCTTGATAACCTGCATGTATCCTAAGGTTATGTGATTGCCAATTGTGATCTTTCCACCTGGCTTCTGACAAATAAAGTCACTAGGGGAAACCTAACAACTACATAATTTGCTTAAAAGCCATAGGATTCACTTAACAGTGCAATGATTCGCTTAACAAAGATGTCCTAAAATTGGATATGACTCACTTAATGACCACCTTGCCTTAGCAATAGAAATTCTTGTACCATGGACTACCTATATTTCCTAATTAATTTCAATTTCTGTTCTTTTCAATCATGTATTTTTCTTGCTAACATCAAGCACTTTCTAGATATGCCAAATGGCTTGGCAGAAAACCAGCAATTCATTGCTTCTCAAAAGAGAAGTCAAACTTCTCAGCTTTTCTTTTAAGGAAATATTTAGATTGAATATCATACCTAAACATTAACCCAGCTAATGAACAGTATTTATATCCTTTAGGTTTTCAAGCAGGATTACAACTGTGATAAATGCTAGCTATTTGGAATAGGATATAAATAAGTTATTTGCTTCTTTGCCCTCTGAGCGTCAGTATTTTTAAGTGTCTGATGATAAAACAGTCTAACAGTCTAAGTGGCAAGATCAAAATAAATGTTTCATAATGAATTGTGTCACTTTAATTGATTACTATTCTTTTTCCCCATGAACTAAATTATTCAGTATTTAGAGTATTATTCAGAGTAAAGAATATTCTCTCCAATACCAGCAAATATTAAAACTTCAGCTATTACAGAGCTGGAAATGAACAGAATAGATTAGTAATGAATGATAAAATGAATATCTCAGGAATGATAATGAAAATGTGTAGTGTCCTATGAGTTATTTATTTTACAATAATTTACTCCCAGTTGCACTCCAACAGAAAGCACCTACGGTTTACAAACAGTTGTTCTTCTTGAGACAAGATACTGGTTAGATGGGCGCCCTGCAGGCGGCACTCTCTCTCAGCTGCATCCCACGTCCTGCGATGGGCAAAGTATTTGTAGCATTGCCCTTGAAACTTGTGCCATCCATAATCACAGGTCTCAGTGTCTGCAACGAACGAACATAAAAATGTACACTGAACATGCATAGTCAATGACCAGAATTGCCCACTAACCATGTAAAATTGAAATAAATCAAACAGAAATATCCAATGACATGTTTCATCTCAAGAAATATGAAAACGAATAGTAGCACATACTAATTTTGTACGGCATGTGTGTCATTTATGTGTTTTATTTAACATCAGCATGTACTATTTGATGCCTGGCTTTCAGCAATACGTAACACGATGGAAAGAAAGAGCATTCTGGAAAAGAAACTTTGTACATTGTAGGAGATCATTGTGGTCTGGCAAATCATCTTACCATCTAGAATAGCCTTCCTCAACCTGACGGCCTCCAGATGTATTTCAACAATGGCAATTGAAATTCAATATATATCTGCAGCTCACCAAGTTGAGGAAAACTGGCCTAGAAACTTCAAGTGATATATACAAAAGCTTGTGGAGAACAAGATGTTTTTAGACAAGTAACTGCTATTTCTGGAGCCAAAACTGTAAGGTCTCATTTTAGAAGCAGAAAGTTTTCCAGATGGAACAGGAAATTGATTGCCTTTTTAACAGAGGTTGCTGTTGCAATGAAACCTGTAAAAAAAGCAGAATTTATTTATAGCTTTTTTCCCTTTATATCTTCCAAGTGTGTATCTCCCAATCCCCTGTACTATAACTTTTTACACAGGTGCAATTTTTTTTTGTGTATTATTTTTTGGTAGAATCTAATCCAGCAAAATTTAAAAATAGGATCATGCAGTCTTTTAAATTTTTATTGGTGGGCAAGAATGGAAATAAAACTGCAAACCTGAAAGTATTCCACACTTACATTGTAAAGTGCTACTTTAATTCCAATTAAATATATTTTTCCATTAAGCATCCTGAATTATTCTGTCTTAAACTCAGAGGTTGGAATTAAACTCTCTGAATCTAATCTAGCGTTAAGGCATCTATCATAGTAGATAGATACCAGATTAATACCAGCAATGACCATAGAATGACATATTTTGTGAGACCATAAACAGTTAAATGGTGTTGACTTTGGTAAGTATTTGGATAGGAGGCTACCAGGTATTATAAGGACTACAAACCAGCCTGAAAAGTTGAAAACCATCACAGGAAAAAACATTGGCAAAAGTTCTTCTGATCTTCCCGCTCTCTTTGCCATAGCAATAGCACTTAGACTAATATACCACTTCACAGTGCTCTACAGCCCTCTCTAAGCGGTTTACAGAGTCAGCATATTGTCTCCAATAATCTGGGTCTTCATTTTACCCACCTCAGAAGGATGGAAGTTTGAGTCAACCTTGAGTCTGGTGAGATTCGATCTGCCAAACTGCTGGCAGCCGGTGATCAGCAGAAGTAGCCTGCAGTATTACACTCTAACCACTGCGCCACAATGGCACCACCATAGGCAAGCAAACAAACATGAATCTATCTATGAATTCACTGGGAGTTGAGCTTGACTTTGTGGAGGTGGGTTTCACTTCAGGCATTTAGAATTAAGAGGTGCCGTATATGAACTCAAGTTCTTCTTTATATATTTATGATGTTTTTTAATATTTCACTAAACCTAGAATTTATTCCAATGCAGAGGTTCATTCTTAATTTTGGAAGTTGATTACAGTATATAAACATCTTTACACAGACAGCATATTTTATATCTGCAGCATGATTAAATGGGTTTGAGAACCGGTCTGCAGTTGAATGGCAGACAGAATTGTTGTTCTAACACAGCTATTAGGGAAATGAATCAGCTGTAACCATTGCAGCATTTCTTCAACAAAACTTTACTAGCAGCCAAAAACCATAGCAATGTTTATTTCAATAACTATCAATATCAGAGTTTAGATGTAGAATAAGAAAACATGACTTATTAAGAACATGAATAATCTCAATTTTCCAAGCTGATGTCTCTGAGATAAAATATGTTAGCATATCTATGCTGCAAGATCTTCTATATCTTTTAAGAATCAGCAGGGCTATCCCCCCAACTTTCAAAACTAAACCTACAGGCAGAGACAGTACTTGCAAATATTTCAAAAGGTAACTCTTTAGACAAAAAGCATCAGAAAAAAATGAAATGAAATAGATTATGCTTAGCTACACTGGAAGATTCCATAAACATTATAATCTACAGTAAGTCAAATTTTCTTAGACTGCCAGGAAGAAGTGACACATACAGACAAAATCAAACTACAGAAGCAAAGTGAAAGAATGAAAAGAGAGAGAAAAGACAGAGAGATTCTAAATTAAACTACATTTTCTGCTCTGGTTTAAAATAATCTTGAATAATTATACAGGGCAGACTGCTTTTCTTCAGAGTATGAAGTTACTTTTTCCAAAAACTACTATCTAAAGTCAAGCCCATACATTCAAGCAGCAAAGAAGTAATCCTTGTAAACCAGATTATATGTTCCTTCATTTCTTGTACTATTGGAAAATTTAGTGACATTGTTACTCTTGCCTTGAGTTCTTGTTAGTTTGCACATGTTACAACAATTATACACAATGGAAGCAACATACAGAATAAACACACTTATTAAAGTGTCTACCATCCCTTTATTGGTAATATCTTTCTCTTTTTATGCCTTTGAAGAATATACTGGGGGGGGGAATCATAACACAAATTCAATCCCTTGACATAACACTCTTAAAATTTTCCTAGCACAAATAATAAATCTACTATTGGTGTTCCAAAATCTCTCCTTGATACAGAACTCAGTGCCTGCCAAGAAGCTGGAGCTCCCACAATGCATTACAGCTGTCTTTCTCTGTGGAGCTTACTACACAAAAGGCCATAGTAATACTAACACTTTTAAATTAAAGGGATTTAAGCAAAGCTATTATAGACACCACTGTACTGCCAGCATTGGGGTAATGTCATTTTTAGAATTAGCTGCTGAAGAAAAAGGAGAAAATGTGTATTCAGTGGTGGGATTCAAATAACAACCGGTTCTCTATCCTAATTTCTTTCAACAACCAGTTCACCAAATTGCTCAGAAGATTAACAACCGGTTCTCCCAAGTAGTACGAACTGACTGAAACCCACCACTGGGTGTATTATAGCCTGCCTGGGAGTTTCTATGGTCCACATGCTGATCACTATGGGATCACAAGTGTGAGCAACAACTCTGGACAGGCATCTGATCTCACTGAATAATACTCTCAGGATGTTTTTAAGAGAAATACAGCTGTTATTTTCAGTGAGGTGATTTAACATGTGTCAACAGCATCAGTTACAAATGTCATTCTGACACAAGGGATCTACTCACATTCTGCTATGTGGCACTATTGGAAGCATTTAATGCTAATGTCTTATACTGACTGGAGATAATGGAAAATGTGACACAATTCACATTAAAAAGGCATATTGGATCAAACTAATATAAGCATCAGCAAATATATTAAAGATATCCATTACATAGCCACTGACACTGAAGAGTAACTAAAGACTTGAAAGATGAATTGGGATTGACTTGGACAAACAGCAAAAATTGCCAAATAGTATTACAAATTGGAACACAAACCACCACCAACAACTACTAATCATGAAGTTTACTGTCACGAATCTACTCTGCCAATACAATAATAATTCCTTTTACTAACTTAAATATGGATTTGGTCGGCTTCTATACCATGCTACCATCTACTTGTAAAATTTGATACTTTGCGTATCTGGCAACCATGTGTGGAATCCAATTCTCAGAATTCCCAGCCAGATGATGTCCACAAATCTTAAAGGTACCAAGTTTGAGAAACATTGTTCTAAGTCAGTGGTTCCCAAACTTGGCAACTTTAAGACTTGTGGACTTCAACTCCCAGAATTGTGGACTTCAACTTCAGCTCTGCTGGCTGGAGAATTCTGGGAGTTGAAGTCCACAAGTCTTAAAGTTGCCAAGTTTGGGAACCACTGTTCTAAGTGATAAAGGCTAAATACAAAATCCTATCTCATTTTGCATTTAACAACTCACTTTGCTGTATGAAAAGCACAACCTGTTAGGGTCATTATCCAAAAGATAGGACTGGGATTTAATTTTGCTAAAGTTGTGGTTGCAAGAATTTTCTGGGGTGTATAAAACCAGTCTTAAGCCTATTTTTGAGATTATACTGTTTAATCTTTTTCATTTCAGAATTATAGAAAAATGTTAAATTTGAAGGCACAGAACAATAGAATATGGAGGACTGATTGGGCAAGTGTGGATATACAGAATCCAGTGTTATTCATACTTACCGTAATATTCAATATTGCTTACTGAAATCGATGGGAAAAGTAAGTTTTGAAAAATACAATAAATTGCAGAGTATGAAATTACTTTGGGTCAGTTCTTTCCAACGGGGAAATGAGGATTAATTAAGGTGCTTTACATAGCATGAATTCTTGAGAACATAGCAGTTCAAGTTGCAAAAAACAACAACAATCCACCAGTCATTCACAGCAAGCTTCCTTGTGCCCTTTCTCTAAAACAGAATTATATGTTTCAGCCTTTTTTATTTTAGGTAATATGACATGATATTGGAACTGTTTGGTAAGCACTGTATCTTTTAAATTATTTTATGGACTGGAAAAGTTTGTACTTAAGTTCCTCCAGAATTTTCAACCCACGGAGGAAAAATTAGATGGAGGAAATTATCCTAATCCTAATATAACTTGTATAAAGATACTTTCTAGATAACAAACAAGGAAATAAGTATTCACTAAGTGTCTCACTTGAATTCCTCAGTTGGTCATTATGAATGGAATTCTTCACCAGCTAATAGAACTCAGATATTCCTAAAATGTATCTTCTTAAACAAATATGTCAACCCACATCAACACAAGGAATAGTTCCATGCTCTGAGTCACGACAAAAACAGATTACCCAATTCTTCTATTTCCACTAGTTAGGACAAGTTATTTTTAGTAACGCCTTGCCTCAGTTTCAGATTTAAGCAGGTATTTACCAGAAAGATAACTACCCAAGTAAGAAACTGTGTTCCAGAGTCATCTAGTTTCTAGGGAAATGGGAAAACTTTATCTAAGATTTGTGCTAAGTTTGATTTCTAGGTTTGCTAGTCAATGCTTTAGCATCTCCAGCATCTTTTATTTTATGCAAGCTTAGCCATTGCATGGGAGGTTTTTGTGCCCATTTTTTTTTGTCCAAGTTGGAATCTCTTTGTATCAGAGCTGCTTGTGGTCTGTCTCAGTGGTGAGTTCCGGATCCCGTATGCTGCAATGGGGCCAGGCGTCCACCTCAGGCACACATGCTGTGCACACATATGCACCCGACCTCAAGTTGCTCGGCAGAGGTTGCACAGGCACTGTATGTGCACAAATGGCCCAATTGGCTTAAATACAGGTAAGGAATGCAGGTGGATGGGTGAGCCCTCAAAAACACCATTCCAGTATGGTGGCCATGCTCCAAGATGCCACCGGTACGCTGATACCGGGGCGTACCAGCCAGAACCCACCACCGGTCTGTCCCATCTTTATCTATGCATGTATATTTTTCCATTGGCTGTTCTAAGATGCTTTCTATGATTTTTTTTTAATGGTCTATCCAGCTGAACCTTATTTTGGGTGACTCAAAAACAAGACTGTGTAGATTCCTTGGCAGCATTTTTCAAAGTGACCTGCCATCAACTTCTTCATAGGGCTGAAGGCAGAACTAGCTTTCATGTCTAAGGCAGTAATCGAACTCACAGATTCCTAGGCTCTAAATCAGCATGTTAACCGCACCACCAAACTGGCTTTTGTCTATAATTTTAGAAGCTCTATATTTTTAGTTCCTCACCGCAGAATGTCTTGCATGTGACTATTTAAATATATATTTTTACCTTCTTTCTTTTCAGTTTTATTCTAGAACAAAGCTTGATTCTATGTATATCTTATGACACTGACTTAATTCCTAAAGTAGAGGGGGGAGTTGATCTCCCTAATCATGCACCTAAACTCCCCAGGCCAAACTTTCAACTGTATGACACTGTAGTCATAAAGTAGAATTTAAAGTTATAATGATTTGAAATTTTTTTGGGATTTATTAGATTTATTTTCAAATTAACTGCTAAAAAAACATTTGTCATCTTAGGGTCCTATATTAAAGAGCTGAATTCTGAATTATTTCTATTATTAATGAGACTATTAAAAATTAATTACAATGAATCTTATCCTTTGCCTTAGGTTTAAAAAATAATGTATCACAAAAGTACTTTTAGCCTCATGGATATTTTTTCTTTCCAAAAGCACTTTTAAATTCAGAGCCTTTCACCCAATAGGATTATGATAAAAAAAAAAAAAAACCAAGCCTGGAACCTGCCAGTATGCATTAAATTATTTTGTTGTAGTGAGAATAAATCTAGTCATAGTGAGATTCGAAACGAATACAACCTACAGAAGAAGAATTTTCACTCCTTCTCATGTTTTTGGAACTTTCTTTATTACCTTTGGACAGGACACCAACCTACACTGAAAAACTTGTATTTATTCTTAATGTCATTTTGCCAAAAATTAATCTGAGATATTTCTTACAATAGAAGGAGTTCAGATTTAGAAGGAAAAGAAACATTGTATTAGCTCAGAAATGTTTTTGCTTTGTTCAGGACTCAATTCAGTTGCAAAAATTGCAGAGTAGAGCTATTATACTATATGTATAGTATAGAAACATCACTATCAAAATTTCATAAAGATTTTTATTAACATGTTCTGAAATTTTAACATGGCATTTGGGTCAAAAAAGGCATGATTATTTTGATCATCCTTCTTATGTTTAACTTTACATCAGCATCCTGTAAAAATTTCCCCAAAATACAAACTCCAGATCTCATTAACACTTATTACTGTTCTTAACAAAATACAGTATTTTACAGCATTTGGTTTAGTGAGTTTTTGTAGCTGATTAAGCTACCGTATTTAAGATGTGCCTTTCCCCCCCCCCCAAAAAAAGGATGAAAATCTGGGTGCATCTTATACATTGAATACAGCATTTTTGGCCTCCCAAAACCCTGCCCCCTTTGCAAAAATGGATGTGCAGAGGGTTTGGAGGCCTGCAAAGTGCTCCTGAGGGCTGGGGAGGGCAAAAAAAAGCCTCCCAAAGCCTATGCATGCCCTATTTTTTGCCCATTTTTGCCCCCGCCCTCCAGCCCCCAGGAACACTTTGCAGGCCTCTCAAACTCCCTACATGCCCCATTTTTCACAAAAAACGGGGCATGCAGAGGGTTTGGGAGGTCTACAGAGTGCAAAAACTTTTTTTAAAAAAATTACCTCTTCAAAATCTTGGTGTGTCTTATACTCCAGTGCATCTTAAAGTCCAGAAAATACAGTAAATGCTGTAAATAAATTACTCTCTTCTTCTCTAATTATCAGCAACAACAAAGACTTGAGCACAAGAAGAAAAAGTAAAGCCTACATAAAGTCATTTTTATTTATCCTATTGTATGTAGGTGTGATTCTAGAAAGGCAGTATTAAATATTTAGAATAAATAATATAATACCCAAAGAAATAAAATGCATTCATCCCATCCCTGTGGCAGATGATTCTTTTTGCCACCTTTCATAGATTATTTCAAAAGTAGCATTGAGTTAACTGCACATTTCAAATTGGTCTCTCACCTTTTTCACAAAGTGCTCCCACATAGCTTGGAAGACAAAGACAAGCAAATGTATTGACACCATCAATGCACGTGGCACCATTTCTACAAGGACTGGATTGACATTCATCGATTTCTATTCAAGAAAATTACAAACAAATAATGGTTTACAACAGCTATTCTCATTTTCACATTGTGTGTGTGTGTATGTGTGTGTATTATATAAAGTAGTATTATATCAAGTAGAATAATTTATTAATGGATTTCAGGCATCCCAATATATAAACTTAATTTTTTTGCACAATATTTGAATATACTTGCCACACAGAGAACTTTTCTAAATGCAGCACATCAACCTGCCCTTGTTAAAAATCATCCTAAATCTCTAACCTGCACCTTCAGTTTACCTGTCACTACTTGAACTGCTGGGGGGAAAATATATTACAGCAATTCCTTTTTCAAAAGGAAAATCTGGGTAATTATTGCTGCCAAGTGTCCAACTTGTTCTAACCTGTCAACATGAAACACTGAACTTCTGTACCTCTTAATGGCTGGAGGCATTGTCATTCATGCTGTTTATTTTATCTTTATCTTGCTGCCCATTCAAAATAAATAATGTATGAAATAATACGTTACAAATCTTCAAAAAGTAAAAATCCAGGTTGTATGGAATAATTAAATAACAGGAAACAAACCCATCAGAATAAGGAAATCTTTTATTACTAAAATTGCTTCATGCCTTTGGCTGAACGAACTCAGCAAACAAAAAGACCCTTTCTTTCATTAATTTAATAAGCATTCTCATGTCTTCAAAGACTAGTTTTTAATAAATTTTATTAAATAAGGATGACACAGACTATTCTAATTAGATCTGGAAAGGTATGGGCATTTTTGAAATATCCTTCCTCATTTGGTACCCTTTAAATATATTTGATTAAAAATTCAGAATATCTATCTAGCATGTATTCCAATATATGTGCACAGCACCAGTTGGAGAAGATTATTTTAAAAAATAAATAAATTTTGTCTTCCTGTTTCCAAGGCTCTGTTAAACTGATTCTATGTCTGGAAGCAAATTAGGTGCAGCTATTAATGGACACATACATTTGAAATAGATCAGTATTTTTTCCTTAAAGCATCCATTTATCAAAACCAGATATTAATATTATAATTTGCTTATCTATTATTTATACCTGATATAGTCTTTTATTTATTGAAGGAAAAAAAGAAAACAGCAACATACAGATAAAATGTCTTACTATGCAACACCATTAGGTAGAACATGAATAGAAAAGTATAGCAAATAATGCATGTTTTATAACCCTGGTGATATTTACACTTAGATATTCCATTTGTATGAACATGGATTGCATTTGCTGAATGGCTAGTTGAGTATAGTTGATATAAATCTCATTATTGCCTGAACTTTAATGTTCATTACTGAATTTCTTCTGCACATTAAAAAAAATTAGACAGTCAAAAATAGCAAAGCATTTATTTCTTACCTATTTCACAACGATCACCACTGTAACCTGGCATACAGGTGCAGATATAGAAAGAGTCACGTGGGTAACAAGTGCCCCCATGCAAGCATGGATTGCTTTTACATAGATCTTGGCCTGTAAAAATGAGTTCATTGAAAATAGCTATATATATTTTTAAAGTTAGTTTGTTTCTGTGCACAAAACTTTTCTGAATTTATCCCAAGTGCTGCAATCTGTTACATTAACAGATTAAACACTATAAGCATGCAAGCAAATATAATTAATTAAGCATAAGGTGTGGCAATAACAATAATTCATGCTTTCATAATATAAATGAATTTACTACATCAGGAAAAATTATTTTGAACAATATTTTGTTTACTTCAATGATGCTTTGTTTTGATTTTGGCAGTCTTAATATTTTGTTGAGGATTTAGCTGATATGATATGACAATTAATTATAGCCAAAATAGTTAAAACAAGTACACAGTGAATGAAACATGTATTATCTGAACGAAGTTAGTTTATGTGCAATGACTGGGTAGACAGAACAACAATTCTTATAACGTACATTTTGTTTGTTATCGTCTCAGTGTGAATTGTGACCTTGGATAAACACAACCTTTCAATTCACACTATATTTAATCAATTTATAAGACATTCTATTTTAAAAAATATCACCCAGAACTCAATTCATTTTTTGAATCTATTGTCTTGTCAAATAAAAAACTTCTAAGGTTTCTTTTGTATTTTTAAGTAAAGGTTACATATACGTAAAACTATTACTTATTACTAGAATGACACCAACATATTAAGTAATTATGTGAATCTGTTGTGTCTGAAAGTATATCAGGCCCAAATTGCACCTTTTTAAATATAACTACTGATAAAATATTCTATGCCTTGACTACTTATTTTGTGCAAAACCCTCAATAGAAAACTATGAGAAATCTTCTCAAATCCTTCCCATTGGGAAAAATAATCTAAGCTAAATATGGTGGATGTCCACAGAAATTCTCAGAATTTAAATGTCTTACATAGCTAGCTATCCAATTCATGAATCTCTTATCTGTATGAATACTTTATCCACAGTAATACTGATTTCACATGTTGAATCACACTGCACGTGAGCACAATGGAAAATAATAAAATTATTGCAAATTCCAGGGAAGGGAAAGCAGACAAGGGAGAACTGGTATTCAGTCTGCTGTCCGGTGCGAATAGCTTTCATTTCAAGATCTGTATATAAAAATGAATTCCACTTTTTCCCTCCAAAGTAACTATTTCTCTTTCACAGTTAGCCACATACATATTGCTGTATCTCTTAATATCATTATGATTCAGTGATTTCCAAAAGTCTAACATTATTGCATTAGTAATATTTTTTCTATTCCAAAATAATGACAAATATTTCACATATAATTCATGCAATATCTTTTTTCTTCTTCATGCAACCAGTTCTGAATTTTTCAGGGTCCACATTTGAATGCACAAATGTACCAGGTGAACTAGACAACTAGGTCTAGCTATCATAATAGAAACTTCTGTCACCATTCCAATGATCGTTCAGTTCACTTACTACATTTGTTCATATAATGTGTGGCATATATTATCGTCACAGTTTATCTTCAAGCAAGAACTTTCTGATAAATAATTGTGGCAGAGGAAAGGATGCACTTAAACAGCTTCTCCCTTACCTGGGATCTGAATTGCTGAGCCTTCAACTGAACCTTCACCTTGACCAATCAGGAAATCTGATCCATTGGTAACATCCAGAAGTAAAAATGGTGGAGTTACAAGTTCATTTGCATTTACATCCTCTGTATTTATTGTTTGTTTGTTTGAATCAGAAATGCTTCCAGGACCTGAATATTCATTTACAAGGTTAGAAGAAATTGTGGTTGACTTTGGTTGGACTGTTTGAAGTTTCACGGTTTTATCTGCAGATGGTGGTGGTGAGATTGGCCAAACACTGGCTTCCCCATCAGCACCAAACACTCCACCCGTTTTACTCTCATGTGGAATTGAAGAAGGTATGCTATGTATCCATAACAAACTTCCATCAGCACTATTTCCATCTAACTGATTTAGCTCTTTTACCTTCTCGGGAGTTTCTTCTTCTAACAGGTCTTCAGCATCAGAATGAAAAAAGCTTGATGGTATCACATCTTTTGAAATAAATTCTTCAAAAAGAGTTGTTTTTTCGGTAGCATCTTTTGGCATTTCTTTTGTTTCCTGTACATGTCCATGAGATGTAGTTATACTTTCAAGGAAACTGTTCTCCAGTTCCACATTAGGAAATGCTGTATTATTGGACAAATCTTTCAGAGCAGGTTTGTAAGTTACTGCTGCGTCAGCACTAACTTCTCTAAAAGTTTCTGGTGCTGGCAAACCATGTTTGCTAGAATCACTTGATGATGAAGAACTTTGCATGACTTCTTCCTCTGGGTGTTCAGAAACACCATTGAGTAAATGCACAGTCACAGGCAGTTTGGGTGTTTGCGTTGTGAGAAGCAAGTTCTTCATAACTGTTTCTGTTGATTTTGTGAGTTCAATTTTCATTCCTTCATAGCTTATTTCTTTAGCTTTTGTTACATTTTGTGAAATAAGCTGATTTGAAGCAGTACTTTCTTCTGGTTGATATGTGGTCAAAGTGTGTCCTGTTTTTAGAGGCATGTTTGCTAGAGTTGAAGGAAGAACCACAGGTTTCTCTTTATCCATCTGTACTTGTCCCTCTCCTGACATGGTGGTAATTTCACTTTCATCAGCTACTACTTGATTATCTGATGGTGTTGGTTGTTCAGATTTGGATTGTATCATTTCTTCAGATTCTGTACGTTCAATGCCATCTCCTACGTCTCTGGTATTTTCATTAGAAGTAATTGGAGATGATATGGTAGAACTGACAAGAAGAGGTAGTGTTGGAAGCAGAAGGGATGTTTTAAGTGGATCCTGAGAAATTTCACTTTCTGTTGTGAAAGACGCAATATCTCCTGAACCCACCTCTAATGTTGGGGTATGATCAGATAAGATAGATTCACTGTGTATGAACTTATTACCTACAGAACTGCCTTGGTTATCTGTAATTTTATCATCAATTAACATTTCAGGTGTTGTATTTTGAATTTTAATTGCTGATGTATAAATATTATATGTTGAGTGTCTTCCAGGCCTTTTAGTTGTATGATCTATAATATCTTCAATATTTGAATTTGATTTCAAATTATCAACATCAATAATTGTTGTTTCATCAAGTATTACTCCATGCCCTGTTCCAATAATATCAATGAAGCTAGAAATATCTTCAGAATAATTTTTTTTGAAACCAGCTACAGGGATAAGATCTTCATAGTCTTTTATGTTGTTTGTGGAACTCTCATATGAAAAACTCTCTGAGATGTCACTATCAGATGTTGCTGTTTTTTCATGCTTCTCTGTCTGAGTGTTTGGTCCTTTTTGGGATACATCCATTGTGTCCCCTTTGTTCTCAATATCTGAATAATGAGGAGGACGAGTTAGAAGTGGTAGCTCCCAGTTTGGTAACTGGGTAAATGATTCAGATTTTTTCTCTATTACGTCTTGCCAGCCAGATCCTTCCCCAGAACCATCATGGTTTCCAGCACCCGACACTTTGGATAATAAAGTGGCATGTGGTGTTTCTATTGTTCCACTGGAAGGGGGTTCGATAAATAATTTTGAAGCAGAAGTTTTATTTTCATGCTTTACAAACACCCAGGCTTTCCCTTGAGAAGTTCTATCTGTTGCAGCTAGTACATTTTGTTCTCCCTGGTAAGATTTTTCTTTATTCTGATCCTGTTCAGAAATGAACCAATTTATAGTAGATGTCTCATGATGTACAATAGATAACACAGGAAAGGTTTCATCACTGGCTGAAGACAAATTGTCTTCTAGCTTGGAAGGATATTTAAATTCATATTTGGAATCATCATTATGCCTCTCAAATTCTTCATGTTGTTCCTCTGAAAAAAGTTCTTCTGAACTTTTAGGATAAGGAGTGTCAAGTTTTAATGCATTAGAACTTTCTTTTAATGTAGCAGAATTTCCAGGGGCAGTAGTATGAACTAGAAATAATTCATTTTTTGAGTCTTGTTTTGACAAAAATGGAACATGAGTTGCTGTGGTTATTGGTCTATATATTGTAGATGGGGGTGGAAGGGTGTGACTGTCTTTGGCAGGAGTAATCTTTTCTTCCAACCATTCTTCTTTCTCTACATTTCTTAATAAAGTGCTTGCAGTTTTATCATATGAAGGCGGATATTTCTGTAAAGATTCAGTAACAGAATTAATATCAAATTGTAGTTCTTTTGCATGTGTATTAAATTTAGAAGTACCAGAAATTTCTGACTGTTGTGTTACGGATTCTGTTTCTATAATTTTTCTTTTTTCTTCATAATATATTTCTCCTTCCAAATGTGAGGTTTTATCAGAAGCTTTTGTTCCTAATACATTTGGCATTTCCTGTGCCATTTTTGACTTATTAACGAATGCTCCCGTAATATTTTGGTTCATTAAGGTTACTATTGTGGTACTACTTATGTTTAATGTTGTAACCAATGGATGCTGAAATACCATGCTAGATTCCTCACTTTTATTTTTTATTTGATTTTTAGATTCTTGTACCAAAAATTCAGATGAAACTGGTTTTTTTGTAGAAGAGTATGTAATAGAATCTACGTCTCCAGAACCTGGTTCAATCAATGGTAATTTACTATTAATTTCTTTTTCTTTCGAAGTATAATTTTGCAGCTTCATACTACTTGTGTCATTAACTGATTCCTCTCCAGAGCCTATCTCCACAAGATCAATTGTTTTGGCAAAGGTAGTTGGAGAAATGTTTTTTCTATCTTCCAACTGAAGAGATTCCATTCCTTCATTTACTATGAATTCAGAACTTCCTTTCTGCAGAGTTATGTTATTTGTCACTACTATGGAATCCTGTGCAGTACTGCTGGAATGTTGTGCAGTCCTATCAGTTTCTATTAATTCTGGTATTAACTTCATTCCTACACTGATGGCAGGAGAAATATTTGCCATACTAGATGTTTCAAACAAATTTGTTTGCTCTTGTATTGTTATAGTTGTTATCACTTCTTCATTTGTCTCCACAACAGACTTGTCATTAAATGGCAATAGCACACTTGCCTCTGATTTATCTGATGCTCTTTGGCTGTAAGTTTCATTTTTTGATACTTGACTTTCTATTCTAGTGTCTGTAGCGTCCCCATACAATTCAGCCTCCAACACATCCATTGTATGATTAGTATGAATAGCATGATTCAATGGTGGTTCACTTGAAATACTACCTATTTCTTTTCCTTTACTGCTTTCATATTCAGACCTCATTGGAAATGAAGTCTGTGTAGTGGCTTGAGTCATACTATCAATTCCTCCAAAACCTGCATCTAGAAATTGGGAGTCTATACTTACCACTTGGCTGGTAGGACCCCCCAAAAGTATTTCTTTATTAGGTTTCCTCCACAATTCTCCATCACCAGATTCTTCATTAATGGACAATCTATTTTCTGTTATTTCTTTAGTTTTGAGAGGAGAGATTGTTTGGGTGACAGCTATGGATCCTTCACTCACAACTCTGATGTTATCAGTTAAGTATTCATTGCTATTAAACAAGTTTTCTGTGCTGAAAGCAGTTGAATTATCCATATTTAAAGACATAGAGCTTGTACTGTCTTCCTTATCCCCCTCCATATTAATTTGACTTTTAGTAGTGCTCAAAATTATTTCAGTAATAGAGTCAGTAGTCAAAGATCCTAAAAGACTATGTTCAGCAATAAACATGGTCTCTTTATACAAAGAAGCAGGAGATTGTGAAGCAGAAGGTTTAGGTGGAATAGGATTTCCATCATCTGAGAAAATTTCCTGACTAGGATGTTTTTCTTGTATTCCTGGTTTTATTAATGCACTAGTTGATTTATAACCGTCTTCTTGAACAGCTCCAGACCCTTCTGATATATTCAATAAATTAGTACTGGACGTGGTTGTCAATAAATTTATGTAAGAATTAAGTACATTATGTCTAACGTTTGTATTATAATTTTCTTGCGGAACAGAAGTGTCATGTTGAGCTACTATGTCATCTCCAGTGTCTAAGTATATAGTGGTAGAATGAGGCAACCAACCTTGAGTAGAAGCTGTTAGAATTAACTGTTCAGGGTCTTCTTTTAGCTCCATGTTTGTTGTGTGGGGAGAAGCAGAACTTATTGATTCAGGCTGGGCAGTTAAATCTTCTAAGTGTTCTGTTTCAGACTGTATCAATTTCTCATTATTGTCTGATAAGGACTGGCCATGGAGATATATTATCTCATGAATTTTATGTGTAGTTTCTGGGTCTCCACTAAATACTTCTTCCACGATATCATATTCTGCTCTTAGCTTTTGTGTAGCAGCAGTATCTCCAGTTGATTCACTTGGCTGTATTGTGGCCAAGAACTCATTATCAGACACCATGTTAGTTTCATTGATATGCAAAAAATTTACATTTTTGGAATGCGCTAAAATTTGATCACTTCTTGCTTCTTCAGCTTTTATATCTTTAGGTGCCGGGGTCACTTGCTGCTTTCCATTAATAAACTGCAGTGGTGGAGGAGTTGTGATAGCAGTAGTATTTTCACAGTCAACTTCTTCACTCTCATCTTCCTCCAGAGGATATATTTCAGGAAAGAAAGGGTCGACAATGAGGATATCATCAGCAACATCCTCAGGACTTTCTGTACAGGGTTCCTCAGTGGCTGATTCATCTAGTGGGGGCTCATCTAGTTCATGATGGATGTGGTAACCAAATATATCCCAAAGTCCAGGCAATGAATCTGTAAAACAAAGAGCCTTTAATAATAATTTTAGCATTTCAATTTGTTATAGGTAGTAATTAATATCATATAAACAACAATACTATTAATGCATTAAAAGGAAAAATGTATCAAATATTCCATGTTCATTCAATAAAATGTTGTTGGCACAGTAAGGGTTCATTACTACCTCTTAAGTTTTCACAGACATTTCTGTTCTGAAAGGCACACCACTCTAGCATCTCTAGATCTTGCAACACTGCCAGCTACAATGCTGCTATTTTACTCCTAACTGTTGAACACCACACCACAATTATTTTAAATTGGGTTCTCTATCAGTTGTGCAGACCTTGTCTAAACATTAATAGAGGGTAATAAAAATGTCTGTTTTAGGCACATGTATAAGATCAAAACATTTCAGTAGGTATCAAAGAGCTAGCTACATCAAGTTGGCATTCATTTTTCTTGGTCTGTATAATACTGAATTCATATAAAGACAATTTGCACAAATAAACTTTTCTGGGGTGAAATTCCCTCTATTTTACACAAACTTGCAACCATGTTTTCTTTTGCAATATTCAAACAATTCTTCTTCACAGCTCCTTTATAAAGAAATATTGGCATGATTATAGTATCACCATGGGCAATTTTCACTCTGGAGCTTGCATATAAAAAAGCAACAATAATACATCTTTAGAATTCCAGTTGACGTTACTAATGGCTATCTGCTTCACAGTACATTAAGGATTCTCAAACTTTGAAATGCCATGGTCCCTAAACTGATAAATATATTCGTATCTATGACCTTACTTGATCAAATATGATTTCTTATGCTGCTGTTAATCAAATAATTTTGTTGATGGGAAGGGACAAAACTGGTAATGAAATTTATACCCAGACACTGTATGTAGATACAGTGTACCTTTCTTATTTTGACAGTGGCTATAAAATAAGGAAGTCAGGGTACTAGTAAGCTCACATGTTTTATATGTCTTGATCTAAAATGTTCAGCAGAATTTCCCAAATAGTATATTATAGCTGGTGAGTGAGATAAATATAAGAATTGCATTATCCATGGAAGCAGTAGTATTATATAACAATAACACTTTAAGAATCAGCGAACTCAATAGCAAATCTGAATCTTTCCAAACATGTTTTACTAAAGTCTATGAAATCTTTTACATTTAGCAATTTTGGTAAAGGTTTTTAAATATGTTTATCTCTTATTGTAATTAATCATATATCAGTTACATTCATGGTTTAAATAAAAATGACATTTAGGAGTGTCAAACATCTAAGCATTTTTTTATGCTTAGAATCACTAGTGGGAACAGTGTTCTTTCAATCTAAAGTAAAGTATATTTACTTTAGATTGAAAGTGGAAGGTCATTTAAAATTCTCAATGCTGGAAACTAAAAAAACTTAATGAGCTGGTCAGGTTAATAAAGAATGCTGAGCAGCTGGTTATCAGCTAATGCCACAGGAAAGAAATCCAAAAAGTGTCTTTTCTTCAAAGAAGCTGATGTTAATGTATCACTGAAGTCAAGAATCTGAAAAATATTGATGAAAGAAAGTGTCTTCATCTCAAAAGCTGCAAATCTGTGTTTATTTGTTTGGAAGTAACTCACTGAATTCAGTGGGACTTCTGTCTGAGAACCCATACATCGAATTAAGTTATAGCGAATCTGGTAGTTTAAAATGATATAAAATATTGATTTACATTGTAATAATATAATAGTGGTATTTTAAAACATATGGTGGTCCATGAGACTAGCACTGGGTCAAAATAAAGTGTGTGAGAGATGTTCTGCAGTGCTTCAGAGCATAATGTAGCTCACCTCTGTCATTCTTTAAGCTAAACTTTAAACTATTAATTATCCACAGTTTAATATTTTATATTATTATAAGCGAGTCAGGTTTTTATCCAAATCTTGTAAAATTTGGATAAAAATAATCATGACACTTAAAATTAAAAATAATCATGACACCTGAAACTGTTGATATGATGCAAATATATCATGCAAAATTAAAAGTACAAAAACTAATCAGAACCATGAATACTATTTCGAACTGCTGCCACAGTCAATAACTTCCAAGAAAAACTAATGTTAGAAACCACTCAGTGGCAAGTAAGATCATGTAACACATGCAATAAATAATAAATATGCACATTACTGGACCCTATTTATCACTTTGAGTAAAAAATATTTGTTTACTGAGCATTACTTGTTTAATCAGGCTCAGCTTTTGTCTCATTTTCATCAAAGAAAATTTTGAGAAACAAATTACTTCTGAATGGGATTTAAGAACATTACTGTATTATAATTAAATGATGCCTGCCACTATGAAAATTAGGTACTGTACTAAGACATTGTTGTAATGATCCCCATCTTTTATCACTATTTTATCATTAAAATAGCTTATTGTAAATTGAGAATACTAATAAATTAAAAAGAAAAAATACAGATGTTGTGCCGTATATAGTTCTTCTGTTCAACAATGATTTTGATTAGTCGCTGTAAAGCCAAAAGCTTTGCAACGTTAATTATTTAATAAATGACTCTAAACTTTAAAATTAGCTCATTCGAATATGTTTGAAAAGTGTCACTGTTTAATAATCATTTAAATATTTATATTTCATAAACCTATTTACATTTCTAGTACCACACAGAGCATTTGCTATGACTTTGGTTTAATGAGCAATGACCCATATCTGCGTTGCCTCAGGATATTTCTTCAGCAAATATCATTAGCTTGCGTTGTCTATGTCAGACTTCTTTTGGCTCACAAGACAAAATGTGGCAAGAATGCAGTCCCAGGACACAAGAGTTCAGGTAACAAGACTATGAACTCATTACAAAAGAATTCTAGGGACTGCTATTATTAAATGTAACTACTATTTATAATCATGTTCCTATTTCTTCTGCCTCCTTCTCTTTTGGATAAGGTTGGAAGATAGAGTGTCATCAATTCCTTGATTTGGTAACATCCTGTTCTAGTATCAGTTTGTTCCCCTTTGACCACTGTGATCCAAATTTCACAATGTTTAAGAGTAACAAAATGTTTGTGTTTTAATAATGTCTGAAAAGAGAAATGATTTGTTCCATTTACATTTTTTCTAACAGTGGAAAACTGTATTAAGAATTTCATCCATGTGAAAGGCATGATTTTAAAAGTTAATATGAATTGCTTTTTTAAAAATAGAAGTGTGTTACACCACTAATTACATGTTTATGGTTTTGTAAGCTACCCACAATCATTTAGGTGGTAGTATATCAAATTGTAAAATAATAATGACTTATTGAGTTCATATCTTAAAAGCTACAGGGAAACCACTAGTATTTCTATGTAATAACCATGTTTTCTTGGCAACATTGCAAAATGCAACACACATACACACATCCCATTTTGGAATAGGTTATTGCTCTATGTCTGATGTGGCCTTTAGGAAAAAAAATCCAATAAGAGTCTTTAATATAGTTTTTTTAAATCTCCCATATGCACTTCTAACACTGTTTCAGCCTCTAATTAGAACTGGGTTACCCAAAATTAAAGCAAAAGTTTGGTTATTTTGACAGCTTGACTAACACTTAGCCTGGCACCAATTGGATAGCTTTTATTAATATAATCTGACAAGTTTAGATTACCATGGTGGAAGACCATCACAAGCAAATTGCCTTCTGACAAGTATCTATTATGTCCAGGATCAGAAAAGCTTATAGAGGTATCAAACAGAAGATTTAACACATAGAATTCAAAAAATATTTAAATTCTTTAGATGGTTTTGGCACTCTAATGTACTCTGTGTGTATATAATCCTTTTATTTTCTCAAGAACTATAATAAACAATAACTTTAATTGTTTTAGAATTTTGCTCATGATACCTAACAAGTATTTGGAAAACTAACAGTATTTGAAAATCTTTCTCATTAAATATGAATGAAACAGAATAGATGAAATTCAATCCTTACAATAGTAATGAACTATCCAGGGATAATTCTCAAAAGTAAATGAGAGTTCTTATTAAAAATGACTAAGAGGGTCTCTACTGATCACTAATGAAATTCTCCATATGCTTCTCACTATCTTTTTTAAAGGATTGGATAGTTCTGCATATAAGATTCACTATTTTTGTCTCAGTGAATAACTAAACAATTAATACTCAAGACAAGAGAAAAAGCTTTCATTTATTACATTTTCTGTAAAAATTTAAAGGTATTATCAGATTGATTTCATAGATTCTATTAAATATATGTAAATCAAGGCTTTCTATCCCTCTTGTAAAGACTTTCAAATCAACTATCATCTATGTGCTTTCATAAACAGTTCAGAACTGTACTATGGCACCTGTCTTTTGGGGTATTAACCCCTTCCAATGAGTTTACCTCCAATTCTACAAAGCTCCCAGTAATGTTTTTTTTTTTTTTTCATCAGGCCTGGGGCTAGTTGAGTAACTGAAAGCTCATATGTAAGATCCTGATGCATTATCTCTTGTGATCTTCTTTCTATTTATGCTTCATTATTTTCTAAATGGTTTTTGAAGAATGCTTTAATTACTGGTTTTATTGTACAGTATCTAGAGTTACATTTGTGTGACAGCCATATACATTTAATAAATAATAAATAAATAACTGTGAGGAATTTTGAACTTGCTTAAATAATTTTCAATCTTGCTAGCCAGGCATTACTTTCTTTATATTAAGGTCTGAACATTCATAAACAAGTTTGAGTTCAGTTCCTCACACAATGTTAATGTTTGATACCCAATAGTCTTATAGCAATAGCAGTAGACTTATATACCACTTCATAGGCCTTTCAGGCCTCTCTAAGCGGTTTACAGAGAGTCAGCATATTGCCCCCAACAATCTGGGTCCTCATTTTACCCACCTCGGAAGGATGGAAGGCTGAGTCAACCCTGAGCCGGTGAGATTTGAACCGCTGACCTGCTGATCTAGCAGTAGCCTGCAGTGCTGCATTTAACCACTGCGCCACCTTGGCTCCTGGGTTTATAGGTTTAACAATAAGTGACTGATCCAAATGTACTCTCTTAAAATACATGCCCTTGCTATAAAACACCTTCCTACTTAAGTTATTCTTGATTTAGAAAACTATTGTCCACATTTTCTAGCTTCTGGAGTCTTCAAGTGATCTTTGAATACCTTGTGGCTGGATTTTCAAAAAGCAATACTGTGGAAATCTGTGACATTCAACTTCCCCACTTAATCCTTGAATCAAAGGGCTTAATTTATTCAAATCAATAAAATGCCCAGTTTTAATTATTTAATAAATGACTCTAAACTTTAAAATTAACTCATTCGAATATGTTTGAAAGTGTCATTGTCATTGCAACACCACCAAAAAATAATGGGAAGCTCTTTTCATAAAATAGTTGATTAGTTTAAGATTTTTTGAAAGCGTATATGTTTAAACAAAATTAAGACACAGCTGGTGTGAAATCTGGTAATAACATCTTTTTCAATCATTTATGTAAACATGCTGGCTTGCAAATTATTTGTAATATAACAAAAGTCATAGTCTCAGTACCTTCTAAACTGCTGTTAAACGACAAGTCTCACTTTAATCCATGAACCTGTTATTTGATAAACAATTCTTAAATAGAAAATTTGCTGAGAAGGGGCATTGTTTCCTGGTGTAGTCCCCAGATTTTCAATCCTTAACCTGAATTACTATTTCTTTTAAATCCAATGTTGAAGATGTGCCGTGTCATTTAGTTCCTAGTCTAGTTTGCAACTACTGATAAAATTAGTACAATGCTAACTAGTGTACAAAGCACTATAATTATATAAACTGGATACATTTTATATCATTGGGAAAGAGATAAGAAAATATCCATTTAACAATGGAAAGGCTTAAGGATCCCAGGGACAAGAAACTAATCCAATCAGTTGAGACTTTTTAAATGAAAACTTTCATGTTATATATCACCTAGAGTCATATTCTTGTGAGTCAGGCAGCTATGCAAATATGATAAATAAATAAATAAATTGCATTTAAAGTAATTCTAGGTTAAACCAATCTATTCATGTTCACTATGAAAAACAACAGACACAGGCAACAACAGATATTCTATTTAAGGAACAACAGATATTTCTATTTCAGAAAGGAATATTCAGTGAAGTTTACAAGGGTAATGGGCTGCTTAGGAGGGGGGAAACTGAAAAGGGTAATAATATATTATAATTCTACAAACAACACTATTAAGATTTTTTTTTTCTAGTAATGATATATTCACCTTTCAGAAGAAATCATCATAATAATTCAGAATCTGATGACATCTCTGTTCTGAATACCCAGATTAAAGCTGCACAAACAGTGCCTTCAGCTAAAACTGAATAAATAAAAGGCTTGATTATAACCTTCCAATTTACATATTATTTTTTTCCCCAAATTTCATAATGTATTTGGATGTAAACAAACAAAATGAGCGTATATTTTGTTTAGCTGATAGCACTGCAAATGCCATTGTTAATAGCTACACACTATGGAATGTTAATGCAATGCTACACTCAAGTAGTAATGCATGGTGTGGAAGCCATGAAAAGTATGTCTTGTTCCACAGGTAATGAATGTCAATCAAATGATATGGTAATATTAAGCAGTCAGCTCAAATAATATTTGTATCAATATCTAACAATAGTAACAATTTCCATATCCACGTAACCAGCAACTATTAGTAATATCCTATTATGAACCATTTTCAATATTCAGATATAAAAGACGCATACAATAATTGAGAGCTACTTTATATATAAATATTTTGTCATATATCTCGAAGCCAAATATCCACATTAGTTTGAACATCCAGTCTCAGTATTAAAATCTTACCTGTATCATTTTGTGGAATAGCAACAACATATACATGTATGTTAGATTCATTTTCCAACCCTGTAGCAACCTCTGAAGTAGCTGGGGGCTCTTCTTGAGACTCTAAAACCTCTGTGGGTGGTCCTGTGGGTTGGGAAACTGCAGTGATAGTTGATGAGGTAAAATATTCAGTATCAATTTCTGGCTCTACCATTTTGCCTGTAAAATCATCATCAGTAGTAGTTTTAATGGGAGAAATAGATTCATCAATTATCAGCACATCTTTATTTGTATCCTCATCAGGCCCCCCATCAATCAGAGGTGGCTGTGTTTTGATAATTAAAAGTTTGGATGCTGAAGTTGGTGGGATTTTATCTACCGCAGTACCGACAGTAGTGGCAATGCCAGTTACCACCATTGGTTTGCTTGTTGCACTAACTGAAAATGAAATGGGTTCCATTCCTATGTCCTCTTCTTTTATTCCTGATCCTTCTGGGCTATGAGTTGAAGTATCTACTTCCCCCACATCAAACTTTTTAGTGACAGGAGCAGCTTCTTCTCTAGAGATGGGAACTACCAATTTGTCCAAGGAAGACCTATGTTCACTTTTGGTAGTTGGTTCTATGGGAGGAACACCTGTTGCTATCAGCTTGGGGTCAATGATTCCAGGAGACAATTCAGACTGTGTGACTGTGTCATAATCTCTTATTTTTATACCAGGACTTGTATCTGTAGTAGTGTAATTTATTTCATATGCAGATCCTTCAGCAGCTACATCATGTTCAGGTAATGAATATAATTCTGGAACAACAGTGGGGGAAGCTGGGTCAGTGACCAATGTTTGCGTAATTAGATCTCTAGTAACAGATTCCTGTTGAATCACTGGAACGACTTCTGTTATGGTTTCTGTGAGTGCTGTATGAGTAGTAACTATACCCGAACCTTTAGAAATCTCATTTTCTATGGTGTCTGAAATCAAAGAACTGCTGTAGTCTTTCTCTGAAATTGCAACAGGAGTTGCAGTCTTTGTGGTATCTGTAACTATAAAAGATTGTTTTATTTCAATACCTTCAGTGACCATTTCTGGGTAATCTTCTTTTGAAATACTGAAGATTGGTTGCTGTTCAGTTGTATTCTCCTCATTAGTCCAATCATATTTTGCATCTGTTTCAATTGTTTCTTGTTGCAAATCTGGTGTTGGTGTTATTAGGTGATGATGACTTGACATTTCAGGTCCATAGCTGGTAAAGAACCCTTCTACTTCATTTACATTTGTGGCAAAAGGCATGTGCTTTGTGGCAGACTCGGGCCCAAACATGCTTCCTTCACCTATTGATACTTCTGATCCTGAAGATACATCTGAAGCTCTCAGTATTGGAATAAATGTCACAGTATCTTTCATCTTCCCTGAAACCACAGATGCTACTGTGTGCTCTTCCTTCTCCACTGAATCTGTTGAGTGTACCACACTAATTCTGTCAGATGGTGTAAGCACTGGTATTTCAAAGCCTGTTGAATAAGCCGGGGTAGACATTGTTTTGCTTTCAAATGAAGTTGCTACTGAATCTGGTGTATCTGTGGCTTTTTCATCTAAGATTGTCGTAGAAGATGGAATTTTATCTACCTTAGAAATGGTACTAGATGTTATTAGCTTCTTATCTGGCAAAATAACTTTATCTTCTTCTACAGATTCATAAATACTAGTCAACAATTCTTTTGGAATGACAACAGTTGTGAATTTATTATCACTTTTTGCTTCTACTGGTATTTTGCTGGGCTGAATGCCAATATGTGTTTCTTCCTTTGTTTCTAAAGGTACACTCAGATTATTCCTTGCTACAGAATCCACAGAAATTCTTATTGGAGCTACTTCTATTTGTTCAACTGAGCTTTCAGAACTTGCTTCATGGAGATCAGAAATATCTTGGGTAGGTGTAATCTCCACTAAGTCACTTAATACAGTTTCTGTTTGGGTCATTTTTGACAAATCAGAAACGTCTGTAACAGTTTGAGGTAGAAGGGTAGATAAATTAATGGTACGAGGTTCCTTCTTTTCTTGTTTTACCATAACCATTTCTGAGGTGAGTGAAGATACGTAAGGATGAAGTGTAGTTTTTGGAGGAATTACATTTAGTTCAGTTAACGATTTGGCAGATCCACTTTCCAAAGGAATATTCAGTTCGACCATTGAAAAATCTGTTACATTCTCTTTACCTAGCAAAATATAATGATAAACAAATTAGAAATATTTACTCTACAGTTTTGTATTTTATAATTATAATAGCTTGAATCCAAAATGAATTTTAGAGATACTGAACATGCATTCTTTATCTCAGCCCATGACCCTAAAAAAAATATTTGTTGAGCTTGCCTTGAAGAGAGTAATTAAAATTAAATGAATCAATTTACCACAGATATAACCTTCTTAGGATCACAAAATCAGACTTGTATTAGTAATACTTTGTATAAAAGTAAATTCAATGAAGCTTTTTTTTCATATTGCCCTAAATCAGTGGTAGTCAACCTGGTCCCTACCGCCCACTAGTGGGCGTTCCAGTTTTCATGGTGTAAAGTAAAGTTACTTCCCTACTTTATAAAGCACCATTACTGTGGAACCGGTGGGTGGTTAGAAAATTTTACTGCTAACAGAGATACAAAAGTGGGTGGTAGGCATAAAAAAGTTGACCTAAATGGTAATTAATTGATATTAAGTTTTTTTTTTTAAACTGGGTGAAGATGGGCGACAGGTTGCGGCAGAATTTATGAAATTAAATTCAGTCATTTTCAGCTATGAAACTCTTCTGAGATGTTGATTTAATCTACACAACTGTTCTGAGAACAAAATTAAATTCATAATCACTGCCCTTTAATCTTTGGATGCAAATTTTATACCAGACTGATAAAATGGCTGCCCTTAAGTTCTCTGAACTGGTGATTATTTTTACTCATCTAGAGTCAGGAATTCTGCATTAACAAATAATTTGTGCTTTATACACAAAACAATAACACCGTTGCTTATAGCTTATAGCTACCACATTAAGAACTTGAAGGAAGGTTTGAAAGCTTCATGCTTTGCTGAATAAACTGTTCTGCTTGAAGGTTTTGGAAATTAATGCAATAAACTATTCTACAACTGGTAGAAGCAGTCTACCCAAGTTTATTATACTAGCAGTTCACTTTATTTCAAAGGAATGGCTCTCATAACAATATCTTCCATTATAAGAATGCACATAAGCAAGAACTTCATTGACTTTGGAGAATGTTCAGTTTCAATGCAACAATAGGAACCAGCAGTAATTGTAATAGACTTTGCGCTGTCCTAATTATGATTTACAGAATAATTTCATGCAAGTTATATAAAAACCATATAAACTATAGCATGTTGTATATAGGCAGGGCCCTCAAACCAAAGAAAGAATTAGAAGTAAAGTTTACAAAGGAATAGGGTCAAATAATTTTCTTCCCTGACTACTTTGCAATTGTTTAAAGGACCTTTACACAATTTTTCAGCGAAAAGATAAGATACAGTGTTGTAATCCAAGTGCCACTTCTCTGAACATGCATATCATATCAATGGATTGCAGCACTGCATCCGCCATCTTGTCTATTTTGAACACCTTCCACATGGATGCTGCAGGCAATAAGAATATATAAAATGGATAATGTCCTATTCCAATATGTTTCAATCTTGGTGGCTAGCGATTTAAAATCCACACGTATATTAAAGTTGATAAGGTTGAGAAACACTGCCCTATTCTGTCAATTGCTTGTGCTTTTTATTTCACCTTTTAATTTTCTCACTACAGTACATTTAATTTTTCACAGGGACTTCATATTTAGAACTTGTCTCATTATTCTTTACCAGATACTTTAATATTCATGAAAAGGTTAAACAAAAACCAAAAGTTCTATTACATGTCTATTAAGAGAAAAACTTTATTCCAGTTTAGCCAGATGCTCGTGTAGATTTCAGCTGAGTTTTGCCAATTTGCAAAAATCAGGTTTATTTGACTATCATTACTGAGTACCAAATGATCATTACCAGCATCATTCAGGAACCTTAATTTTATTTGTAAGCTTAAAAAAGAGGATTTAGGTTGAAGCTGTTTCTTCTCAAAGGAGACATTCACAACAATTAATCTGTCTTTTGTCTTAAAAAAATGATCCAGACAAAGGCTTTTTTTTTTAGGCTTTCCACCAGCTTTAACCAACTTGCTGTTGCACAGATGTTTTGCATTACTGAATTCCTTCATTCAAGTGTTCTGGGGGATATCTTTTTGTGCTTCTTCTGATGCAATACATGAGACACTTGTTCCCAATAAAAAAAAATCCAGATTGCTTAGAGCAAGAAATCAGATTATTTTACTAACCATTTGTTACATCAAAGACTGTCCAAATTTATGTAGTTTTTTTAACAACCTGAAAAAAGCTGGTTTGAGATTCTTTGGAACTGGAAAGGGTGGTCCTGCATTTCCTTTAGGAACTTAATGTAGTACACAAAACTGATATCGTCTCAAGTTTTCCCACAACAAAAACTTGGTGATGTGGAAAAAGGATAATTGGCCCAAAGCCATCTAGTAAGCTTCTATGGCTAAAAGTGACCCTGAATTTGAGTCCTGCTGATACAATCCGAAATCCTAAACATTATGTCACATATGCTCTCTTTTACATTGTATATTTTATGGAGCTGGAGACCACAACTCTTGAATATCTCCTAAACTGACATTTAAAAAAACTTTAATCAAACATAAGCAAGACTGCTTGTGGCAAAATAAAACATTGGCTTGTTCCTAAATTTAACTTTATGGGCATCAGAGGTGGAATAAGTGGTGAATTCTGGATCCTGTTGCAACCGGTATGGTGCAACGAGGCCAGAAATCCACCACATGAATGCGCGCAGCACATGCATGCCTACTTACTGCCCATGATGCTCCAGCTGCTCAGCAGAAAATCGCGCAGGCACGTATGGTCCGTGCACGTGCACGGAAGCCCTGAACAGCTCAAATACAAGTAAGAAGCACGGGCAGGCAGGTGAGCCCTCCGGAACACCGTACTGGAACGGTATCTGGTGCTCCCAGAAGGCACTGGTACGCCCTTTCCTGGGCGTACTGGTTTTATCCCACCACTGGGTGTTATTCACCAAGTTCAGACCAGTTTGAGAGAACCTGTAATGGAGATTGCATTTGGGCCCACTCTATGCACTATGCCGTCCTAATTAGCCATGTTTTTGAGGGCGGGCGCATGCAGGGAAGGCACGTGCAAGAGCAAAGCACATGCCCTGAAGGCGCAAATGCAAAGTGAGCGAGAGTGCGTGCGGCGTACGGTGGTAAAAATAAGTGAAACCCACCACTGATGAGCATCCTTACAAAACAAAATAATGGATTACTACAATCAGTGTCCGAAAAAGTGTTCCCTTCTCCACCAAAAACATTGCCTATTCTAATACCAACATTTCCTATGTGGCAGCATCCAGATTTCATGATTCTTTTCCAACTATCCTGTAAGGCATTGTAAAGTCAACATATGAGATCTTTCACGTGTGAAACATTTATTTTGCCATTGGATCATGGCTTTTCCCTTGAATATTCTGAGAAGCTAGAACTGTTTGTTATAATATGAACAAGATTAATTTAAGGCAGTGATGGATAATCTTTTCGTTGTTGTGTAATACAATGCGTACGTGACAACCCCTAGGGCCCCATGCATGAATGACTCCACCCCCCATGCTCTGCTCTCCCCCACACATGTGCACATGACCCACCCACCTCTGTGCCCTGTTTTGGGCCTGATAGGCCTCCATGCAGCCTCCTGGGACCAAAACTGGGCCAGAGCACTTGAAGGCAGGAGAAGACGCAATGGATGGAAACTAATCAAGGAGAGAAGCAACCTAGAACTAAGGAGAAATTTCCTGACAGATAGAACAATCAATTAATGGAACAACTTGTCTCCAGAAATTGTAGATGCTCCAACACTGGAAATTTTAAAGAAGAGATTGAACAACCATTTGTCTGAAATGGAATAGGGCAGTGGCTCCAAACCTTTTGGGCTCCAGGGACTGGTTTCATGGAGAGATTTTTCTGCAAATCGGAGGGGGCATGGTTTCACATGCTGCCTGCATTCTGTGGATGGGGCTTTGCTTGTTTGGGTGGCCGGTTTGCTGGCATGGCACAGACCGGTGCTGGTCCACAGACCAGAGGTTGGGGAGACCTGATATAAGGTTTCTTGCTTGAGCAGGGGGTTGGACCAGAAGATTTCCAAGGCCTTTTCCAACTCTGTTCTTCTGTTATTCTGATCATAAACTCTCTTGGACAAAACTAATAGCCACAACTACTGAATGTGGAATCTATGGGCATTTGTGAGACTGTAGTGACTACGAAACATTTAATTGGTTGGATAGGGATAGCCATGTGTAAAGGAAAACATAGCAGAAAAGAGAAGAGACATGAACAAGTAAGTGGGAAAGGATAGAGACAGTGGGAATATGGTGATGGCAACATTGATGACTGGCAGCTAAATATCTTGCCAAAAAATTAACGGTGGTAGCTGAGGACAGCTCTACTAGTACCTATATATTTCATTGTACCATATACTATTCAGAAATCCTTCTTCTGACACCATGATGTTGGCTGGCCATAAAAAAACAAAAAAATCCTCTAAGCCCGTGATGGCAAACCTGTGGCACACAGAGAACTTTTTCCTGGCACGCAAGCCGTCGCCAGCTCAGACCCACCGTGCATGCCTGCATGCCTCCTGCCAGCCAGCTAGTTTTTGGGTCTCTGGTGCTTGCGGGAGATGCACGTGAATGCATGGGAAAGTAGGGGAAAATCACATGTGCATTCATGGGGGAGGGGGAGCATGCGCATGCAAAGGGGCTACGGATTTACACCATTTAATGGGGTGAGGGAGGCCAAAAACAGTTCACCAAGGCCATCCCCAAGCTATTAAGCTGAAATATTCCAAGCACTATGAATCACACTCCCCTTCAGCTATTTGGGAAAGGGATTGGGAAGAGTTCTCCCTCCCATTTCATTGCAGGAGAGGTGGTCAAATGGATGGGCTCTCTCAGCCGCTGCTGGGTAAGGATAACTCCCTAAAATGCCCACTTGCCTCCTTTCCCCCCAAGTGAGAATTGTCGAGAAAAGGGCCAGGAAGGTGGCAGCGCTTGGCTGTGGCACATTTGCAAGCTGCCTGAAGTTGAGCTGTCTGTCTGGTGACGCAGGTCCAGAGAACAGCAAGAAGGAGGGGGGTTGTTTTCCAGAAAGTTGTGCACCCTGTGCACTATTACTGCAGAGCTCAAGTAACTGCATTCATGTACATGTGGATGTGTACAAGCGTACAAATCCACGTGACCCTTTAAGGCAGAGGAAACGGGCAAGAAAAGCTGATCATCACCCGTCTTAATGGCCAAAAGCACTTGAAAGCAGCCGGTGGAGCGCAATGTTAATTAACTGTCTTTGCGAGATCTCACATGTTGCCATTTTTTAAGCCAAAGGCACTTAGGAGGCACATGCACACCCAGGAAGGGAAAAGGCCAGATGGAGAAATGGGCGAAGGAGCGATAATCATTGTCCCCCTTCCCACTTTTTGGGAAATACCATGCACTTGTGTGGAGGTGGGGCCTATGGGGGGCATTGGATTATGGCTGTTGGCACTTGCAGGTCTAATTAATTCCTGCTGCATCATCCCTCTTCATCATTTCCTAACTCTGCTGATAGTGACAAACATTCTATGAGTGAGTTGATTCCTGGTGTACTTGGTTAAAACTTGAGGTTTTCACATAATGCTACTTATGTAATGCAAGTAGCTCAAGGGTTGAGTAAATAAAAAATTCTACTTCAAGATAACTGGTAAAGGACGCCCAGTAAAAGGTTGATTTTTACTGTACAAACATGCACCCCTCATATTCCAGGCATTACTGCTAGCAAGTTTTCTTAGCTAGCTTTTCCTTTTCCTGCTGCTGAATGTAGATCTCGATCCCACCATCACCCCACAATTAACCATTTCAAAATTACTATAATTATAAACTGGACTTTGTTTTGTACCCTAAATATATTCTTTACAAAAGAAGGATCCAAATTTATTCTTTATAATAAGGAGTTTCTTTTTAAAAGTACTTGATGGAGACAAAGGTAACAGCAGCAACAATCCAAGAAAAGCTCTCTTAACCCATTTTCAAAGCTCCACTTCAGATGTCAAATACCATGCTGTCTTTGGACATTAGACCTTTGATCAAGCTGCCCCCTAACAATGTTTTATTCAGGTTCATGCACTCAAAATTCTGATCTCACACATCAAAAAGTCAAAGAATAAAAGGCTTGAAGTTGAATCAAGATCACTAGTTATACCATCCATATTTTCAATAGGTGAGACATTGATGGCAGATGCCAGTCCTGACTGTTTTGGCTACTCGCCATATGGCAGATAAGAAAAGGAGCAACAGAATATGAAAAGAAGACAGCAGAGGAAAAAGTGGGTGTAAATTCAAAATCACCATCAGTATAGCTAAGTTTATTTGTGTGTAGACAAGAGAAAGTGATTAAGTTTGGATGATAAAATTGAACTTTTTGATTAAGATTAAAATGCATTCCTTAATTTTTCAGGTAGCTCTTAATAGAAACTCGCTGATTAGAATGAAATGTGGGGTTTTTGTCATGTGACTATCGATAAGGGATAAGATATGGGAAGAGCAGCTCTTTTTAATTGAAGTACTAGGGAAGGTGATAAGTTGACTCATTTTTAATAACATGTCTGGAGGGAGAGGGAATCATATTTTATTTACCGTATTTTTCAGAGTATAAGATGCACCGGAGTATAAGATGCACCAAGGTTTTGAAGAGGCAAATTTTTTTTTAAAAGGTTTTGCACTCTGCAAACCTCTGAAAAACACTCAATTTTTCGCGATAATGGGCCCGTTTCACCCCCCCCCCCCAAAAGGGCATGAATAGCCCTTAGGAAGCTTGTAGAGTGTTCGGGGCGGGGGACAAAAACAAACAAGAAATAGCTCATTTTTTGTGAAAACGGGCCCATTTTTGTAAAAAAAAGGGGCCTTAGGAAGCTTATAGAGTGCTCCTGGAGGGTTGGGGGGGGGGCAAAATTGAGCAAAAAACCAGTCCATCCTTTGCTAATTTCTGCCCTCCCTGGACCCTGGAGCTCTCTGGAAGCCTCCAGAAGCTATGCATGGCCATTTTGGTGAAGGAGCAAGGCTTCAGGAGGCAGAAAAAATTGCTGTAGTCAGTGTATAAGACACACCCAGATTTTCAGCCTCTTTTTTGAGGGAAAAAGGTGTGTCTTATACTCTGAAAAATACGGTACCTTCTTTTTCATTTCTGATTTCTTTTTTCCATTTCTTTTCAACTTTTTTCTTGTTTTTTATATCTCTGTATCTTTGCTTATATTAGTTTTTTTTAAATATTTGTATTTGTAAGTAATAAAATTATTGGAAAAACAGGAACAATTTGTATCCTTCTAAATGAGCTTTCCCCACCATCCGTGGCCAAGTTCTGCTTCAGTAATTGTGTGGTTGAAATCCAACACATTTGGAGCATATTACATTGGATTAGGCTTCACAGTCATTGGAAACAGTTAAGATTTTCCTTGGATATGCAAAGACACAAGGTTCAGCTAAGCTACTATTCTGTAGTCTAATCATAGAAAATTGTACACAATTTGTGGGAAAATGATGTAAACGTTTTTCCTAGAAATCAGGAAAGTAGAGATGAGATTCCCCAAACATAGACAAAAAGTACATCAGTTCTTTTCCTTTGCATGCAACAATTCACGAGCTGCTTTTATTATAAGAAAGAAAACTCAGTAAAATAGAATAAATATGACAATTAAAATATCAAATATGCTTACGTTTAAAACAATATGCATCAAATTTGCTATCTGGGTAAGGAAAGCCAGTTTGATTCTCAAAGCGATATAATGTTCGTACTCCAAGTAAACCTCCACCACATTGGATTCTTGCCACAGAAGCAGGATAGCGCACACTGCCATCTGCCAGCCAACCATAATCACATTGGTCAAAACCATTTCTCCAGGCAGCATGCAGATCACCAACTGAAGCAAGAACTGCCCCTTGTTCCTCACACAGAGTTTGAGCTTCTTCAAAGGTAACCTTGTTGGGAGAAGTTACATGAAAGACATCACCTATAAAAATAGAAGAACAAATTATGTTTTTCAAAGAGGAATGCATTCCACAAATGATTTAAACGGAAAACTTATTTTTAACATTATTGCTATAATAAAATGACGCTATTTTTCTACTACTGCTCCAATTTGTCGGTTTTGATGAAATTTACCTTGAGCAAAATGTGGCATAGTGGTATATAAACAGAAATCAAGTTTGAAGGAACAAACACAGTGTTAGAATGAGCTTCTGGTTTCCTTCTGTATATAACAATTCTTGTTGAAATGGCACTTGTTGAAATCTAGACAAATCTAGATTTGGAAAGGGCCATTTAGGTCACTGAGTCTGATGACTACAGAAATCAATATGAAAACTTTCCTGAGACATTTTAAATTGATCTTTCTTCCTTAATGAAGTGAAAAACACTTCATTCCTTTACTATTTATTTATATAAAATATCTATAAGGTCGCTCATCTTGCACAACTCTGGGCAGCTCATAATAAAAATAAAACCAAGAAATAATAAATAACAGAAAACACAAAAGAAAATCTAAGAGCCTTAGGCATCCTCCTTGGATGTCTCCAGCGAACCATCCATCCTTATCCCAGGATGAGGTTTCCACCTCATTCTAGCCCAGAGTTTCCACTTCACTCTAGCCCACTCTATTTCCACCTGGGAGGAAAACTGAAGCTGAAGGCTGAAAGAATGAGAGCCTGCCAGATTCAAGGGCAAGGGTGTGCCACAGGAATTTAGATTCTTAGATGTAATCATATATAAAAGATACTGGGATATAAAGCGAAAAAAATGCTGTCCAGGAATTGGTCAGATATAAGACAGTATAGATTGTAACTGAATACTGAGCGGGGAAGAGGCTCAGAAGAGACCTCCTCTGAGGTTTTTTGAGGGGGAGGGGTGAAGGAGATGGTGGGAGAACTGTACTTTCAGATATGCAAACTTCTGCTGATGTAGCTTTACAATACAGTAGAATTGCTTATTTGGCCATGTTTCCTGTCTAGTCTAGTTGGTGGGGTTGTCACTAGATCCCACTAGATGTTTGCTGCATTCTGAATGAGTTGAAGTGTCTGGGTGGTGTTTAAGAGCAGCCCCAAATAGAGCACATTATAATACTCTAATCGAGAAGTAACCAAGGCATAAGTAACCATGATCAAGACTTCCCTGTCCCTCAGAAAAATGGGCATAATTGGCTCAAAGGATCTGGGCAAAGCCTCCTCTGGTCTTCGCTGCCACGCTGCTCTTTAAGCAGACATTGGGAATCCTGGAATACTCCCAGGTTATGCACACTCTCTGTCTTGGAAAATGGGACATATTGAGTATAAAGAATAACATATTATGAGACCTGGGGGGTGTCACAAAAATCTAAAGCCACTCTGACTTGCTAGGATTGAGTTGGAGCTGGTTCTTCCTATCAAGATCCTCATAGTTTCCAAGCATTGAGTCAGCACCTCAACAAGTATCACTTATTCATCTTTCCTATGGTCAAACTTCAAATTCACTTTTGCAAACCATGTTCTAATTCAGACAACAGCATAAATCAACAAAGCAACTCTATAAATGTGATTATGTCCCTTGCTGTATTTAAAGAACAGGAGGAATCCCTAAAAGTTCAGGTTTATTAGGGCTGAGTGCACAAATTTAATGTTTAATAGTCCCTCATATAATGTCCTCCATATAAACTAATTTCTATCATTTCCTGCTACAGGGGGAAAAAGAAAACAATCTAGTTGAGATTCACAGTGAGATAATAGCCTCAATCCTCAACACTGAGGTATTCAGAGTTCCCTAAAGACATCATTTCAAGGGAACACAATATTCCTCAGAGTCCTTGTAATTTACAGTCTCTTCCTCTGAAAACTCTATTCATCGTGATGAATATTTTCCTATAATTGGAGATGAGTAAATGACTGGAGATATCTACATCTTGTTAGAATGGCTAAATTGGGGGGGGGGATATACAATGCTTTCAAAAGGCATTGCATAGAACAGAGTTTATGTACTGTGAATACAGAAGTGCTGGCTTTCCTCCCAGACAACCTGAGTATAAACTCAACATCTCTGATAACAGGATACTATTATGTAGATGACTAAATCACAGCAGAACTTTTCAATAAAGCAATAAAAATGCCACGAACGTCAATACTATATTTAGTGTCAAATAATTTGTGCCCAGAAAGATTCTTCTGGGCACCCAATATGACCCACTAGTTTTCTCTTTGTTGCACTTTGTTTGTTTGTGTGTTTTTTAAAAAGTTAAACGTGAAGTTAGCATTCTACAAAGCAAAATGATCACGGCCAAGCTTTCTATTTCCAGAAATAAGTGTGATGACAACAGGTTTTCCAAAATTCCAAACACAGCCTAATTTGGAAAAGTTCAGAAATTTTATATCTATTCCATTGAATTCATCAAAGTACATCAAAATCAATCAAGGCATTCAAAGGATAAGCTTTCAGCTTAGATCTGCAAGTGCTGCAATCCATAATGAGGTGAGGATTTGTTCCCTTTGTAGAAATTGAGATGCTGAATAATGTATCGGCAAGAGCCAAGGAAAGTTTCCCAAACAAAACAGCTTAGATGTATTTTTCCCACATGTTCCACAGAGAAAATCCATCTGGCAAACTTGTGAATGACACAGCCACAAACATTAGAGCAATGAAAAGTAGCTAGAAAGAAGGGAATGGGATTGGAGAGTTAAGAGTGATTCTCCAATGTTTTGATAGCTGGGATCCATGCTGAGAGTAACTCAGCAAAATTTTCAAGGCAAACAACAGAGCCAGGAGCAAGACAGTTTAGCTTTCCCTGTGCCTTGCAATAACAACACTGACATGGAAACCAAACCACTCTTTGGAATATATACAGCAATGTGATTTCTGTTGCCTTGACTCCTAATCAAGGTTAATTGCCTGTTCCCCAAAGTCAAAGCATTGTTAAGAAAATCCAAATTTTCTGACTTGCATATTTGGACTATTCGACTTAAAGGACATCTGATTATTTTTTCTTAATCAATATCAGCTGCATGCACCATCACCAAAACCATTGCCACTATTATTGCTCCTGTTCCAAAAAAAGCAAGAGACTGGCTAACAGTTTGCTTGAAGAACAACAAAGCAAATAATTATGTTCCCAATCATGCCAAAAAACCTGAACTCTAAATAGATGATTCATTAATTATGCTTTTTGTGACATACAATTCAATTATTCTGGTGTATGCAGAACAAATGTTTATTTTATTAATAATAAAATGATTTGTAAATCACTATTCAGACTAAACATATGTCAAAGTTGATATTAAAAATTAAAATGTATAAATCATAACAAATAAAATAGCATAGTAAATGAAGAGATTTAAGAACTAGACAACTTTGACCTATTGTGTCATCATTTCAACTGTGCTATCATTTCATAGATATTTCCTTACCTAAACAGATCAACAGAATGACCATAGGCAGGCAAAAAGCAACGGGAGTGGGAATGATTTCCAACTTTCTGATGACTTCTCCGCTTATTGTTTGTGGGGAGCTTGCAGGGAATGGGGAATGGGGAAGCCAGCAGGGAAGGTTGCAAGTTGCTTGAGTAGATCTTCCCCAAATCTGTTTGTGCTTGTACTGTGCCAGCCATTCATATACCCTATGAACCCTCCCTGACCCATGCAACATCCTCACACACCTTCCCCAATTTGCACTGCACTTTCAAGCATCTTCCATGACCACCACATCACTTGAGCACCCCTTCACACTCTTTTGCATCCTTTATAACCCCCCCCCCAATGCTCCTCACCCCGTCAGCCCTTACTGCACTTCTTGCACACCACCTCCTTGTTCCCTCCCCATCCAAGAAGCAGCCACTTACCTGCCCACTTGCTTGAACTTGCAATTTCTGCTGGCTTCCCCACTGACTTGGGCAAACCAGCAGGGAATAGAATTTAGATTTCCTGCTGGTTTCCACATCAACATGTGTGAAGCTGCCTGGTAGCATTGGAAATTACAGTACGGCAGTACAGAAGTGGTTGCAACTTTTCCAAATTTCAATCATAAAGGAGCAATGGGTCCTGGATTTGGGATGCATTCTGTGAGTTAATCTATTTGAGGTACCTTTATTTAAAATGGTTGCCGAATGATGTACTGTTTGATTTAACTGAATGTTACAAAAGACATGAGATTTTAAAAAGTACATAGATAATTTCAGATTACTCATGTGTTAAGCCATGTCTAATTTTAAACAAGGAAAGAGACAATCTAAACCTTTGAGAAGGAAATAGCATGAATAAAGTGCTGTCACAGATGAGTCCTATCACATGTCCCTTCCATGATGATCTCTTTTCTGGGTGGGACAAATTATAGAAATTCCAAAGTACATCTTAAACTTATATGGGAGGAGGCTAAACTTCAATAGCTATATTCTTATCTCCAAACATTTTAATGTGCCTTTTGCCACAGTGAATAGATAGATAGATTAAACTTGAGCCACACGGAGGCATCAGTCAAAGGCATTCTGCTGCAGAGGCAGATCAGAAATATTTTAAACACACACACTTCACATGTAATAGAACCCAATGCTGCCCAATTTATTGGTATCTAAAGCAGAAAATCCCAATAGCAGCTGTCTGCTCAAAGGAAAAACACATTAGGTGAAATGTAACAAGAGCCTAAATTGGTTCTTCGGGCATTGATCTCACTTTAGTCAATGGATATAAACCAGTCCATTTACTCCTGATAGATCATTCTTGCCAATATCAAGTATTCTATTTAATTTTAATAATATAATTATGTAATAATACTCATCATCGACATGAGTATTGTTGTAATCTAATTAATTGCAATGTAACATTCATTATCACTAGAGGGATTTCTTCAATCTTTCTTGAGTGGTTTTTGTTTTGAGTCACTTATGTTATATTTATGTGTAGAAAGATGGCACTTACCCCTAATGTTTGGAACAGTGTTTGGTATAATTCTCTTTACAAAAGAAAAGGTAACAAGAACTACCAAAGTTTATTAGGTCTACCTGGAAATGTAGAATTCTGATTGAAATGCCCAATATGAAAGGTAACCGCTAATAATATCTGTGAGAGGCAATGCAACTTTATGTCAGGCAGGGGGCACCCAGGCCACAGGCTAGGATTCCTGCTATGCAATTTCCAACATCGGTCACTTGAACTAGTAGGCTGAAATCCTAACTTAAATATCCTTAAGGGGAAGTGTAGCCCCATTCAACAAAAGTTGTACGCCATTTCCTAGTTTCGGGAATCACCAACAGATAGTATATCAAGGTTAATTTCAATTGAATTGTCCTTTAATGTATTCAGATAATAATTCAGCACTTTCACAACTTGTTAGCCACAATGCACAATGCTAAAAAGAAAAAAAAGAGATAAACGTGTTGCTTACCATTTATGTTTCCAACATAGCAATAGACATCATAAGTTTCATTAGAAAGGCGATATCCATAGGATCTAACTCCTTCTTTTCCCATCATATCTCCATAACAGCCAACTCTAGGTTGCCTAATAGGATATCTGCAACACAGTAAATGAAATAAAGTAAAGTGAATGAAAGATACCATAAATGTAACCAGGCTATTAGATGAACCATCAAAAAGGCATTTCATCATCTCACCTAACAGATTGATCAGCTAACCAGCCAGCATCACATTGCTCAAATCCATCTTCATATGCAGCTTTCAGTTGTTCAGGGTTTGCAATTACAGCACCATTCTTCAAACAGATCTCCTGAGCCTGTTTGAAATTCAGAGTATATCTACTGGAAGATGCACGATAGTGAAACACAACACCTGCAAAGATAACAAACTTATATTGCATTAACTTTTATTTAAAACAAAATTATTCTAGGCAGTGAGGTCAGAAAGAACATTTAAGGAAGGTTTTCAAGATTGTATTCTATGCCCCTATCAACATTACAACGGTTTTTTATATCAATCTTTTGCTCAGTTTGCAAATCTGCAAGCTACAGAATCCATCATTGTTCATTTTTTTGCATCGTACTTCTGTACTTTTCCAGTAGCCTCTGGCCAATATGGAAATAAAACTGAACCAAATTAAAATATCTTCCTGAGATTTCATGAAAAATAAATGGTCAATCCTTTGCCTTCTATTCTATACTTCTAGATAAAAAGACTTCAAAAGAAATGTGATAGTCATATAGAATTAGAGTTATATAAAAGTCTGATAACTATTTGGGTTCTTCGCCTGAGGAACAAAGCAGTGAAGAGTAGACTGAATATCTTCCAGACCTATTTCTATTCTTGTTTTTTTTTAAAAAAATATTACAAAAGGAACTGAACAGTGGCTAAATCACTTATATAAAGATTGTAGTTTTATTCAGAATTTTAAAATATGATAAGGTGTCCTACTCTTTTCTTCTACATTTTTCATCATTATGGTGTGGGTCTTTTTAATATATGAAGCATCAAGAGTTCTAAATCAAACATTTTCAGCATTTTTTATTATGGTAATAATCCAAATCACGTTGAACAAATTGTTAATGGAAAGTTTAGCTCATTTCATTTGTCATGAAAGAGGGTATAAAAATGTTCACATAGTGTATAATTAATCTATATTGCTATTAGGTCAGCTAAGATTTTTAACAGTATTTGGAGGGAGTCCAGATTCTGCAAGGTTCTTAATATTATGACAAAAGGCAAGTATATTAGAAATGTATGTACTGCGCTGAAATTTCCCACATATTATAAACAGTTTTAGCATTTCTTTTGCTGTTCACACACTAACTCCTACACTTGCAACGATGGAATGTTGCTATTGATTTTGTTTTGAAATATAAAGATATATATATCTGCAACTATGTCATAACTCTTTTGAGTGACTTCTATCTAAGACTTCTTTGTAAGACACAAACTTTGTGTCACTAAAGTTTGAAGGTTTAAGACTCAGTGGGTCCCAGATTCAGTTGACTACCTCCAGCAATAAAAGAACTTGATCCATTCTCACCAAGCCTACTGTCAGCTACTTGGGCACAATGGACCATAACATTCCCTGTCTCAGTTAATGAACTGGAAAATAGTTTCAAATGCGTTTTAGTCATAAATAGATGAAACTATTGATCTGCCCAGCATACTTCTTTATTTTTGTTAAAATGTAATAGCCTGATTTAGTTTCATGACTTATTTCTTCTCACAGATTCACAGGTTATTGCAATCTAATTTTAGAGATCTTCACAGCTGTATGCAGAGTAATTAGAACAAACAATGCTCCCTCCCTTTTTTAGTGTTTTTCCTTCCTCAGTCATCACAACACAAGGTCATTTCAAGGGACCTATCTATCATCTTTTTAAAATCAAATACAAAGTTTAAAGCATTGTAGCAGGAAAATACAGCAGAATTATAAAAAAATTGGGAACAGTTTATCTTGATAAATCATAAACAAATGTATCTAAGTATAAATTTTACTCATTTTAGAGATCTGATGAGTTTACTTTTAGATAACAATCTACTCTTGAAGTAGTCTTCTATGACTAGGAGGGACAAATGTGTTGCTTTAAGTTCCTCTGATCCAAACCTAAATTTCATATATCCATACCATTCAACACTTTTTTGTGATTAAGTAATAACATTCTGGATTAATTCTACCATATTCAGTGGCTAAAGTGGTTATAAAATTCTGCTTGAAGCTATAATGAGGGTAAAGTCAAAGACTTCTATATTTTATAAGTTGATGTGATTTTTAAAAAAATGTTTTTTCTCTTGTTTGTTGCAGTGATTTCAGAAGAGGTTACACTAATAAGAAAATCAAAAGCAAATAAGAAGTATAACAGTTTTGCTATAATTTAGGAAAATAAAATATTTGAGAAAACTAAGAACATTTTTAAGGCAAATTATAGTAATAGGCCTCAGAGTGCTAATTTTTTAAAGAATTTATGGGGTCGCTTTATATTACATCAATGTGCAAATATAAAAATACTGAATCAATAGGATATATCTGAAATTTTGCTCTCAAAAGGACCCTCATTCTTTGATATGTGCCAGTGATAATTTAATTTAATCTTCACGAAAGCTTTATAAACAATTAAAGAGGCTTAGTAGAGAATACACTGAACTGCTTTCCAACATGATATGGTTATTTACAATAGCTTTTAAGTTATGTATGTATAAATGGCTGGGAATAGCTAGATAACAATAAGCTCAATGATTGTAAGTGGTACCTATTCTTTCTTTGATCATTTTAATCAATTTATTAAAATTTTGTGCTGTTCATCTCGTCACAGGTGACTCTAGGAAACTTACAGAATCTGTTTAACTAGCTTAATGCCCAAAATGGCCTTCACTCTTTTTTTCCCATTTAAATTCACCACCCCCAATAAACCACAATGAGAGATATTCAGCAACTTGATTTTGTGATAAAAGAAGACAGTGATAAAAAAGGGCTCCAAGTTTGATTAAAAACTTTTTATTGTATTATCCAAAAATCCCTTGTGCCCATGAGGGTACTTTAAGTAAACGCGGTCACCAAATGTTTTTAAAAATATTTCTTGAAACTTTATGAGGCTAATGAATCTTACTTTTAAGTATTCTTGCTCAAATTCTTGAAAGGAAGGCTTCAGAAAAAAATTCCTTCATATTTTTAGATTTGTCAATGTTGCCAAATATTAGAGTGCTACCGTCATCATTAACAGTGCCCAGTGCCACATCATCAGCATCTAGCTTATGTAGCAGTCTTCAAAACTTTCAATGATAATGTGGAACAATCCAAAGTTTGCTAATCACATTTAAAAGTGATTCAGCCTATTCCTGTGTCTTAATACTATTAGATTTAGAACAGTCAAGTACATTAAACTTATTTATGTTAAATGTACCATAGGGTAAGTCCCATATGGATAGAGGAAGAATTGTTGAAATATTTTTAGTAGCTAACTAATGCTAGTTGTTATGGCGTAAAATTCCCTATCAAGTCAGGTGATTTAAAGACTTTATGATCGCCACCATCATGGGACAAGTACATTTAACATAAATGCAAGAACATGTATCTTGGACTGTTTCCAGCTTTTGGGACTTCCGGACAAGTCATGCCAGCTTTTTCTTAGTTTCTCTTCATTATAAAGGGGGTGGGAGAAATGCAGCAAACTTTTGATTGGTAAGGCAAGTCAGTAAACCATGAATTGGTTGGAGATGGTCTCTTTAAATTATGCATTTTTAGCTTACAAACTTGTAGCTCATAGGATAACAGATATAACTGTCTGGTATGCAGTAATCAGATATTCGATTTCTCACTCACTATGGACTTCTCTTCATCAGTTGTCTTTTGCACATTTTTTATGAAAAAGTGCTGAAATCATAAAGTGTTACATTGAATGCAATGTAAATTTGAGCATGGGATCCCAAATACAAAGCACATTGGCAGCAGCCCTAAAAGTTGGCAGATCTATAAGATCAAGCAATTCTAATCTCTATATTGATCTCATTAAAGGACATAAATGTGAAAACATTCAAAAAACTTCTCTGTATTTCTCCTTTCATAAGACCTCCCCTTCCCCAAAGTTCAAAGTCTCCCCCAAAAGTTGGCTTCACATAAAGTGCAAGTATATCAAATTGGCACCATGAGTGCATATAGCTTTTTTCAGCAGCTGTATCACATTATTGGCTCCTATTCATTTGATGTCTAAATGACATAGATCCTTTACACATCTTCCAAGCTGGATCTATAGTATATGCACATCTTTAATTTATTAATGAAAAGATAAAAAGAAGCAAGAGATAGGATGGATGTGTCACAGAAGAGAAAATGGAAAATGCAAAAAAATCTGTGTGCTTGGGAAGCAATAGAGATACTCATTTCATTGTATGAAAATTCAAGGTATGAATCTTGTGACAATAATATGGTTTCAAAAGAAACATGATATGAATGCAGAAAAATATAAGATGGTTGAAAGTGCAAAGGAAGCACTTAAAGAGAGATAAAATGAGACAAGAAAGCATGGAGTAAAAAAACAGATGACTGCAACATATGGAAGAGATGGTCAGTACAGAGAAGCATATCATGGAATAAGGAGATTCAAGTTTAGTGGACTTGGAATAAGAGGGAAAACATAGTCTATTGAGAAAGGAAAGATGAAGTAAGCATGGAATAAAGAAAAAAAGACATTAATTAATTAGGAACAATAATTTGAATACAGACTTTGTCACTATTAAATTGTTCTCTGCATAAAAGTAGTTAAGAAATACATACTTCAAACTTTTGTCAATATCTTAAAAATGACATAGAATTTCTACATATTCAATCACATTTTAAAAATTCCCATGGGCTAACTGCCCCTATTTTTAGCAGCACATAAAGAAAATAGACAAACAAACTGCAACAAAGGAACTTTCCACAAATTGAAAAAAATGGAAGATTTTTGCTTTTTATCTTCTGTCTTCCTTTTCCAATATCCCTTTTCTCTTTTTTGCTACTTAATCCTTCCCACGTGCTGCTAATTCAAATGCAAGAGGGAGGCCGATTTCCATGAAAACAGCCCATCTCCTTACATTTGTCAGGGAGACACGGAAAGGTTGATATATTGCTGACACTCTGACTTAATGAGGTTGTAAAAAAAGGAAAGAAAAGCTATACATAAAGATGTCACCTGCCACCCCTTGGCAGTCTAGACCTGAACAAATCGTTTGAAGTTGTCCTGAAAGTCTTGAGTTTCCAAAGGACAGTTATTTCAATGTTGTATTCTACTTAGCTTGCAGGACAGATTAACTGTTGTGACTCCTGGGAGGGCATGGTTGATATAACAAAAGCAACTGAAATTGACTTGGAAGCTGCTCTGCCAATTGGTGGTGATGGGAAAGAAACTAGCTTTAAGATTCAATGTATCTAAACAGGAAACAAGGGACATACCTAATTTCATGGAAGGAAGGCAGGATTTAGTGGATTTCTGTATTTCCTAATTCGGTAATATCTAAGTGAAAATGCACCAATGTTTCTCAACTAGGAATACTGGTATTGCTGGGGAGATGCTACATTCATCACAATTATTAAAGAACTGCTTTCCACAAGTCCCTCATCAACCTATAAATGTAAAAACTGGAGAAGGTTCTTGGATGAGAAAAGAAAACAAAGAAAGTCCAGTTGCCTTTTGAAAAGCACCTTTGGGACAACCATGACATGGATGACTGAGTATCTCCTTAGACACCAACAATTTCTGGTTTCTCCATATGCTATACTTAAGATTCAGAAACGGAATGATGCAAGTATGGCTGGCTATAAAATCTGTTATACCTCACTAGCAATTGAACGCTACCTGTATGATAGGGCTATTCTATCCTGTGCAATAAAGCTACCCTTCCTAGGAAAGTGTTCCTTGTCTCAGGAGATCTGCCAGGTGTTTTGAATTCAGAGGGGGGGATTATCAATGCAAATACAAAGAGATAGAAAGAAAAAGCAAGACTACAGAATCTGAAGAGCCTCTATGCCATCTACAATCAGTTGGAGGTATTATAGTCATTCACAATCCAATTATAAACTTCAGCTGCCTTCTCATTCTCCAGGCTAGAGAAATCTAGTGAAGCCTTCTTCAGCCTGTTGCTTTCTACTTGCACTAGACTGCTTTGCATCCTGCAGGATGTCTGGTTGGGGAAGGCTGAACTACTGACTATGCCAGCTGAAATCAATGGGAACCCTCAAAGACAACAGAGAAAAAGGTCTGATAAATTATATTCTTACTGACCCTGTATAACCATAACAAAGAAAAATGGCATAAAATATTGCTGCCAAATCTGTGAAGACTATTAAAAATATCAATTCATTTTAGTTTAATTTAAATTTCACAAAGAAATGCAAGAGTAGGGTAAATGAATTTCTCACCATCAACCGCCAGTGAAACAATGTCTTGGGTATCTTCAATTCCATACATTACATCACAGCGATAAACCCCAGCATCACTTGCACGTAACTTCACCATAGTCAATGATGCATCGCCAATATCTTCCGGATGGCTTGGTACTGACACTCTTCCTTTGTAGCCTTGTCCAATCTTGATATTCCCATTCTGGGCTACCAACACTGTAGTTTCTTTGAGATCTTTTCCACCTATGTCCTGTTCAATCTTTGACCACTTAATCCGGAGAAACTCACTTACGTTGTGATAGCTTGGAGGCAAAGTCGGCAAAGTTGAAAAAAAGCATGGGAGGGTGGCTCTTCCAGAGAGTGAGCCCTTCACTGGTGGACTTTTCTCCACTTTCACTGAAAGAAAGAAACAACAGTGTTGTTTGAGTGAACTAGTGAAAGTTGATCTACATTCAATCTATAAGGCAGGGATAGTAGGATTATTATCCCTTTTCTTTGCAACTCAGAGCTCAAGCAGCAGTCAAAGGGAGAGGAAAATGATAGACATGAAATATCATTTCTGGTCTATCAATACTGATTTTATCATTGTAAACTAAAAATCATAAACAAACGTAAGATGGTGAACATTTCAAGAAAATATATGTTTGACTCTAAACTCAAATCACATTTCAAAACTTCTAAGACCTGATGAAGACAACATTCAGCAATGAATATTCAAACTGATAATGGAGTTCTGGAGATGGCAAACAGAATATATGCAGGTAGTCCTTGGTTTGTGATTATTTAACAACAGTTCAAAGTTAGGATAGCCTTGGAAAAAGTGACTTAACAACCTGTATTCCCACCCACAATCACCACCATCTAATCACAGTTCAGGCACTTGCACCTGGCTTACATTTAGGACTGGTTGCAGATGCTTGCAGTCCCCTGATTGTGATCTGCTACTCTCTTTTGCCAATTTCCAATTGGGAAACTTGGATGTACTTAACAGCCACTGTAAAAATTGTCATAGAAATGAATCTGACTTGACTTATGATATAATAACTTATGACAGAAATTCTGGCTCCCATTGTAGTTGAGAACCTTGTACACCTTACTGTTTTCTATTTAAAAGCTGTACCGTGAGAAGAGCCAACATTTATTTTAATATAAGGGCTTCTAATGGAAAGTTTAGAAGTAATCTGTGCAGGAGTCTAGTTTATACTTTAAACATGGCAAGATACTTTATCTGGATCTCCTTCAGGATTTCAACAGAAGAGAAGACCATTGAAATTCAATGATCCCAATAAAAATTTATGATCTGGCTTTTTCTCCACTCTGAACAGCTGGTTTGGTAAAAACAACTCCATTCCTTTCTTGTGCCCTGCTAATATCACATAAACCCAATATTTAAATGTAAGGCATGAAAGACATTTTCCAAAATCAAGTGGAAAAAAATAGCCAATAAGGTCTGTGGACCAAGGATATTATTGAGTTGGTTTACGTTACAGCAAAATAAATGATGGAGTAATTCTATGCAAGAGTTAATTCATATTTACCATGTATCCTAAGAAAAAAAGGAACATTTTCTTTCTTTTCAGAAAAATATTTCAGGCAGCCAGTTGTTCCCATTTAATTATTTCCTTTCCAACCTCAGGGCTTAACAGATCACTCAAATAAAATATTCCTCAGTAGTTGGGAGGGAGGGTAAAAATAAAAACTATGGGTGGTTCCTCCATGATTAAAGAACTTTTACCATCGTTTTATATCTCTCCAGCTGCAAACACTTTACAGCAGACTGTTTCCATCCAATGTTAGTATATGGCTAAGGAAAGTGTTGGCTACTGTTCGTGTAACCTGCCTACTGTGCATCTGGAACAGGAACTACATATTTGCTAGTTCTACCAATTCTTAACCCCTTGTGAATTTATGCACTGTTGTTTGCTAGTTGAAGATATAAAAGCAGGCTCTGCCCTTATTTTCTTTTAATTAATTGAGAGTAATTGAGAAACACACATATCTATAAATAAATAATGCCTATCTATAGCACAATTGAGGCCTTTGAACTATGGTGCTGGAGAAGACTCCTGCGAGTCCCTAATGGCTTCCTAATGAGAAGGAAGGATTCACTGGAGAAAAGCCTAATGCTGGGAAAGATTGAGAGCAAGAGAAGGAAGGGACAACAGAGAATGAGGTGGCTGGATGGAGTCACCAAAATAGTAGGCATGAGCTTAAATGGATTCCAGAGGATGGTAGAGGACAGGAAGTCCTGGAAGAACGTTGTCCATGGGGTCGCAATGGGTCAGACATGACTTTGCAACTAACAACAACAACATAGCACAGTATGAGTACTACTTATTTGCAAACATTACTTCTTTCCTTTTTTTAATTCTATATGCTCAGAAATGCAGGTTACATGAGAACTTTCAGTAAATTAATATATGTGGGTGAGAATTTTTTTTAAAAACTAAAACCTGAGTGAAGGAATTAAAATAAAGTTACAATGGATCCCTCATCCAATGAAATAGCAAAGCTGCTGCTAAGGTTATGCACATGGCATCCATGTTGTTGGAGAGTGTTAAAAAAAAAGTCAAAGTGATGGCTATGATTATGCAGTAGTAGTCACCCCTTTTTTTTTTACTTTTTTTAAACCTCTCCCTCTTATGCTATCCCAAGATATTTTGTTTAAATGAAGGCTAACATGTTGTCTTCTCCAAAAACAGGCAAACATTGCAAACTGAGTTATACTTTAATACTGGCAAAAGAACAGTACTCTCCACTGGATTTGAAAGTTGCAGGGTCATGTATGAGTCACAACCTCTAATGATAACTGACATAATTAAACATAATGTGTCATAATAGTGAAATATAATTGCCAGTTACATAACATGGAACTCTGTCCCTTCTATTCCTCTTAGCAGATGCCTCCTTCTGGCAGATATGATCTGCAAAAACAACACCATCACTTAGCAGCCAACAATTTGTTGCTAAAGATGTCTAGTTTTGTAGTCCAGGTCAATATGACCAGTCTATAATCTTAGTAATACACACTTTTCTAACATTGTAAGAGATGTTGGTCTGAGAAAAATGGAAGCTCAATTCTGTAGAGCACAGGCAGAACATGGATGGATGGATGGATGGATGGATGGATGGATGGATGGATGGATGGAAGGAAGGAAGGAAGGAAGAAAGAAAGAAAGGAGCTTCTACTTCTTCCCAGCTTAGATGACCATGATTACTAGTATCTGATCTATGTTATTTAAAAATAGTCACTAAATGTAACTCTACAGCTTCCCTTTGGAATGAAAAGCAACAATAGGAGCATAATGTACAGACTATATCCGTGATGGCGAACCTATGGCACGCGTGCCACCGGTGGCTTCCTTGAAGCTTGCGGAGTGTGAAAAACTGGCCCTATGTCCTGGTTTGTCCATAGGGCTGTTTTTCCCCCTCCGTAGCCTTCAGTGAAGCCTCCTGAAGCCTCCGGAGGGCAAAAAAATGGCCCTACAACAAACT